TACCTTTAAGAAATTTTTAAAAGGCACACTTGATATTTGTATACGCGATGAAATGGAGCACTCCATGGCGATCGCGCCACTGCCAGTGGGACGCCCGCCACAACGAAGGGACATTGATCGCGCCTTTTGAGCGTCGAACTTCCCTCTTCCCTTTCCCTTCTCCTCTTCGATTTTAAAAGGCACAAAGTGTTATCTCCCCACATCCTAGAGGGTACTCGCCCGACAAAAAACCACGAAAGACCAACCGGTGCGAGCAAAAGTTTTATTCAAAGTCCGTAAGAGTTGAGTGAAAATAGATATCCGTACGAATTGACCTTATCCGGAAAAGACTTAGGACTAAAGACCAACCGGTAAGGGATTTCATTGTAGATCGGAACCCCAGGTGGAGGCGGGTAGGCCCGCAGGGCCGCGCCGACCCTGGGGTATCATGACGCCCTCTAAATATGCAGCTTTACTGTTCTTGCGTAATTATAATTACACCGACTTGGCAGTGTGTTTGTGTACAATGGACAATTGGCCAGTTTTCGATTGCACCGCAGGTACTCAATAGTGGAATTTAAACAAGAAATCAGCCCCCTAATTCAAAATGGGGGCTGATTTTGCAAACAAAAACTGATTTTGCAAACCATGGGTCGAAAGGGGGCTGATTTTGCAAATTCCCCGCTGGGGACGGTGTCGTCGGGACCGGTGTCATCCGGATACAACCGGAGTCCGGATACGCACAATAACTGGAAGTCGACCACAATGCTGCGCCAGGTCACCGCACGCTGCCGGCCGGTCGCTAGCGCCGGAAGCCGCCTGCAGCGCGCGCTGCACGGTATGGCGCCGCTGCACGTCGCGGCCGAGGCGCCGAGTGCGCCAACGGCCAAGACGCCAGCGTCGCCCGAGAACGTCCGCGCCGCTATCAGCAAGCACGTGGCCACCATCAAGAAGCAGACGGGGCTGACGCCGGCGTTCTGGGGCAACGTGTCGACAACGTTGGCCAAGTGCCGGACGCCCGAGCAACTGGCTGCGACGGCGCCGCTGCGATCGCTGCCCATGGCGTGGCACTCGTCGACGCCGGCGGTGCAACACGAGATTGTGCGCATCCTCTTGGCGACGCACGACGTTGAGACGGCGATGACGCTTGTCGCGAGCGCGCCCGAGTACCCGCTGCACAACCGCAACGTCGCGCGCTTGCTCGGCGCGTGCGTGCGGCATCGCAACCTCGCGCACGCAGGATTTGCACTCTACGAGCGGTCGCTCGCCCAAGGCACGGTGCCCAGCATCCCGGTCTACCACGCCGTGCTCCTTCTGGCCTTGAAAGCCAACGACCCGAGTCGATTCCACGCGGTGCTCACGCACATGGAGACCGTCGGCGTGCCTTTGGATGCCATGTGCCATGGCCTCGCGGTCCGCATGGCCTGCCGCCAGCGCCACTTTGAGGCGGCTTTGGACCGGTACCGCCTCATGCAGCGCGACAAGATGCACCTCAACGTCATTGTGCTCAACGAGCTCCTCGACGGGCTCTGCGAAATGGGCGCGTACACTGACGCGCTCGAGGTCTTCGAGTCGGCGGTCGAGAAAGTCGAGAAGCGACCGTGGAACCAAAAGCCCGACGGTAAAGTCGTTTTGAGTCCGGAAGCGAAAGCCAAGGCGGACGACAAGGCACCGGTGAACGAGGTGACGTACAACATCATGATGAAGCTCTGCGGCCGCCAGCAGCGCCTCGACGAGGTCTTCAAATGGTACGAAGACATGAAGGCGAAGGGCATTGCGCCGTCGACGACGACCATCAACACGCTCATGCACGCCGTGTACCACGGCAAGTACCGTAGCGTCGACTCGGAGAAAGTCTACGCGGCGCTCGCGACCGTCGGTGCTATCGGCGCCGGCACGCTCTTCGTCTCGGACCTCTCCGAAGCGACGGCCTCGGTTGCGATCACGGCCAGCGTTCTCGCGTCGCTCGGCCTCGGTATCTACATGAATCCGTTTGGCGTCCAAAAGTCCATCTACCCCAACGAGACGACGGCCAAGGAGCCGATTCCGGCCGCGATGCTCCGTCGTCTCGACGAAGAAGAGCACATTGGACGACTCGTCTACCTCTGGCACGAGCTCCTTGGGTACGGCCTGTCGCCCGACGACGCGACCTACGACATCTTTGTACGCACGAGCGTCCGGAAGCGCCATCCGGACATTGCGGTGGCGATGCTCCTCGAGTCGAGCAACCCCAATTCGTTTGCGGCCCGGCGCGCGGTCGAGAAGGACGCATTCGTGTTGCCGCTGCCGCTCGAGACCACGATCCGGCTGCTGCAGTCGCTCGTGAGCCAGAATCTGCTGCCGCAGGTCGACGACGTCGTTGCGCTCGCGTACAAGGCGCGCGGGCTCGAGAGCATCACGTCGACGTCGCCCAGTCGCCTCACCCGCTTCCGGCTCGTGCCGTTTGGTGCACCCAAGGTGACGGCGCTCGTCCTTAGCCGCTTGCTGCGTCTCTGGCTCGACGAGCACTACCCGAAAGACAAGCTCCACGCGCGCATTCATGACACGGTCGCCTTTGACGTCATCCAGTGCCACACGGTGCTCGACTACCTCGACACAATCGACCCGGAGATCCGCGCGTCGTTTGCGTTTGAGGAAGTCCAAGTCGCCGGCAACGGCAACGGCGTCCTCCACTTCAACCGCGCACGTCTGCAAAAGTACATTGTCAATTTGGCGTAAGACGTAAAGTGTCCAGTCCATTTTGATTCAAGACACGTTGTCCCCACTCTTTTTATCAAATGCCATTGATAACACGACAGCGCATACGATCGTCGGCGGCGTCAGGACGGCTTTGGTACATCATCCATCGACAGTCGTGCAGATTCGCTACGGGGGCTAGGGGTGGGGGCGGGGGCGAAACTGTCCGACAACGAGCATGCAAGCGGGGGCGCAAACCGTCCAGGTGAGTTGCCGCTTCCGCGGTGGCAACGACGATGGAAGCGCGCTCGGCCTCGAGTTTCCAGGGCCGACGACGGTGGTTCTCCCAAGTATGAAGGGCACGCAGTTCTCCTTTGACCGCGTATTTCCCCCCGAGACGAACCAAGAAACCATCTTTGAACACATTGGGATACCGGTCATTGAAGAGCTCCTGAATGGCTACAATTGCACGATCCTCGCCTATGGGCAGACAGGTCGTGTTGAAGAGTGATGACGTTGCCGCGTCACTACTTAGCAGTGCTCTCTAGGAAGCGGCAAGACGCACACAATTCTTGGATCCAAGACCGAAAAAGGCATCCTTCCCCGCCTCGTACAGCGAACGTTCGAGGCGATCGCAGCGCGACCGCCCGGTTCGCTTCCACTAGATGCGTGGGTGTGGATACGACTAGGTCTGTAGACGCCGCGACAGAGGTGTCAACGGGCCTCTTTGAAGTCTACCAAGAAAAGATCCAGGACCTTCTCAACCCCTCGAACGCCCATCTGCGCATCCGCGAAGACAAGTTGTCCTTTCTCGAAAAGACAACATATGTACCGATGTGAGATAGAGAGCGAGGCATCTGGGTTCAAGGCGCGGCCGACATCGTGGTGGCCGATCCGCCGTCGACCCTCCGACTCGTTCAGAAAGGACTGATGGGGCGCTCGATGGGGGCGCACTTGATGAACGCCGAGTCGAGTCGCAGCCACTGCATTTTTGTGCTCACCGTCACCCAGCGCTTTCCATCGGGCCTCAAGCAAACTGGTAGAAGGAGTTCTTGTGCTATAGTACGTAATAACGCGTGCGGCACGCTGTAGGGAAGCTCTACCTCGTGGACCTCGCTGGGTCGGAGATGGTGCGCAAGACCGCTGCATCGGGCAAGCGCCTTGACGAAGCCAAGCACATCAACAAGGTACGACTCGTTCTTGCAAGTGTGTACGTGGCGTTGGAGAGAGACGTGCGTAGTCACTCACAGCGCTTGGACTTGTCATCAACGCACTCACGGACGGACGGTCCAAGCACATTCCATACCGGGACAGCAAACTCACGCGGCTTCTCCAGGTGGGTGCAGCTGGACATGGAATCCGAGGTATCGACTCGGTGTAGAACTCGCTGGGCGGCAACGCCAAAACGCACCTCATTTTGACATGTTCGAGCAGTGCGGCAAACCTGGTGTGTTCTGTTTCCCTCGTGGCGAATATTGATTGTAACTTTTAAAGTGGACTAGGAAGAGACGCTCTCGACGATTCGGTTTGGCGCAAGGGCGCAACACGTGACCAACTCGCCGCAAGTCAATACCGAGCGGACGATCTCCGAGTACAAGCAACTGCTGCAGACGCTTGAACTCAAAGTGTAGGTCCCACCTGTCCACCTGTGGCGTCTTTTGAAAAAAAGACAACTTGACCACATCTAGTGCCGCACTGTCGGTCTACGTTGCATCACTCGAGAGCAAGACGACCGTGTGTCCGCGCTGCAGCGGCTCCAGTACCGCCACCGACCCGCCGCCATTAGCGCGTGCCAACAGCGACACCAACCTCCGCTCGACGTGCCATGTGTGCGCCAGCAGCGAGCCGGAGCTTGTGCTTTGCGACGGCAACTGCGGACGCTTCTGGCACCTCTCTTGCCTTCCGTCGGCCAGCAACAACCCGCTCGAGTGTATCTGTCCCGACTGCGCTGACGATGCGTACAGTCTTCAGGACGAGCTCTCGGCGCTCAAACGGGCGCTGCAGAGTATCAAAGCCGACCGGGATGAGCTTGAGGAGCGTGCCAGTGTTCAAAAGCAAGTGCTGGATGTTGCCGACCACCACAACAGCTCCCTTCACCGGTACGCTCTCTGTGTAATGTACAGCGTTTCGCCGCTAAACGCTCCAAACTGGCAGCGCTTTGGAAGAGCGCGTCCTGGGCCAAGAACTGCGCATTCAAAGCCTTTCCAACCAACTCGAAGCTGCGACCTTGCAGTACACGACCACCCAGCGAGACTTGGATGCGCTGCGTCTTTCAGTGACCAAGACAACCGAGGTCCACCGGAAGAATGCCGACGCGGCCCAAGCCGAAATCGATATCGTGCGGCGCTCGCTGCTGTTGATGGAAAACGAAAATGCCGCGTTGAAGGAGCAGGCCAACGACCTCGCACTTCGCGCGGCCCGTACGCAAGAACAACAACTTGTCTATCGATCCACGGACATACTATCTCATGTCGCATGTTGTAGAGTCGGAGAAGCGCGCGCGCGAGTGCCACGACCAGCTCGACGCCTGTCGACTGCTACTGGCGCAACGCGACGACGAGACAGCGCGCCGGCACTCGTCCGTCTCGACGTTGCCCATGAAAGTCGCGCTCTCACCGGGCAAAATCCGGCCGGCGACCGCCATTGACATCCTCAACGACGCTCGCCTGTCGCTACAGTCGCGCGGCAACATCCAGCAGTGGTGGTCCGGCAGCGACGGCCCGCCCGAACACGCCTGGGAGCCCAAGACCAACAACGTAGCAGAAGACGGCGGTACCTACTTTTCCCTGGCGTTTTTCTCTCGATGGACTTGAAATGAATGGAATGTTTTGACTAGGCACGGGCGATGGCCCAGCGCGGCCGTTCAAAGCACGCCTTGTCGGCCTGCTCACGTCGCTGCAAGAAGAGACCGATGCGTTCAAGGACCTCGGCGACAAGATAGCGGAGCAGGCCAAGCCCAAGCTTCGAAAAGGGCGGCATCGAAGCCGGCTACCGGCGATGGACGACCCGCCACTCGGCGAGACCGTGCTGTATTAGCGTCGCTGTCCGAAACTCGACTCTTTTTCTAATTCGATAACGGCGACGGTGGTATCTACACTAGAACGCGGCGCGCATGATACTCTGTCGCCGCGGCGTGGCGGGGGCCACGGTCGGTGCAAAGACGGCGTAGCGACTGCCGTCATTGTCTTTTGAAGCAAGGACCTTGCGCGGCTTGCCACAGAGCACGCGCTTCTTCATGTCTTCGCGCGCGGCGTTGACGCGGTTCTTGAAGGTGGCACCGGTCGTGTAGCGCAAGAAGAGGTCGCCCGTGTGCGGGATACGTCCTTGGACCCAGCTCAGCGGCAGCTCCCACCCATACTGATCGTTGAAGCGCTCGTCGACCCAGTTTTCGCCCGGTTCAATGTCACCGAGCTGCGCCAGCATGAACGTGACTTGGAACTCTTCCCATACGCTCAAATTCAAGTGGTATTCCTACATGTTGATGTCTCGAGGGGTTCACTGGAATCGAGGGTAATACCATTTCGGCAAACATGGGGTTCCATAAATTGAGCCAGCCAATGCGGTGGATGGCTTCCATGACACTCTCGCGTGTCCAGTCGGCTGCCAGCGTCACGAGCAAGTCGTCGAGATCCAGAACGCGGTTGAGTAGCATGGCCACAATCTCGACGGGCCCGAACGCCACGTCATGAAAGCAGTTGGCGAGGCGCACCAACTGCGTCGAAGATATGCCAAACGTGGCTTCTGAAAACGTGTGCCGCACCGCTATCAACGGTACATGAGGCCATCTTCAACATTGCGCCATGGATAGATACCGAGCTTGCGGTGCTCCAAGCCCGTGTCGGGATGCTGGGGGTGGACCACTGGTCTGGGTGGTTGGACAACCGGCACCGCTTTCTTCCCGTGAACCTTGACGTGTGTCGGCGTCTTCTCGGGGGCGGCCGGAGCCGACGCGTGGGTCGTGACACTCAAACAGAGTTGATCCAGCATCTACATTGTGTCCATGCCACTGGCCAATACAGAATATTTGACGACACACGTCATCTGGAATCGCGGCACTGCCACGCGGGATCCGCGTCGTCACGACAAAGTCGAACGCAAACGTGCCGAAAGACGGCAGGCCCTGGGCGCGGGAAACACTGTATGGGGCGCCATCCAGTGTTTCGTTGCGAAAACACTCCCAGTTCCCTAGTCCCATCAGAGACATCAAAATACAGTCGACTTTGAACTCTCTATACCGTTCTGACTCGTGTTGAGGCCGACCGTCTTCTTGTTCTCGAGGCGGTCGTCTGCCGAGAGCCGCACTAGCGTCATTGCCAATCGCCTGTCGACGGACAAGGCCAAGTCGAGCGCGTAACGTCCGTTGGGAAGCCGTGGGTCAAAGAAGAGAAGTTTGCCTGCCCGTTCTTTCAGCACCGTCTGGTGTCGAATGTGTCGTGCGCGGTGGAAGAGCTCGGCCGTGTCAACGACCCGCTGCAATAGTCTAACATTCCCATCATCCATGCGTCTACGGATCGAAAACCGACGCGTACAAGGGCGCGACAAGGGCGTGGGCCTCCGCGGCAGTCATGGCTCCGAGAAGGTACTGCGCTTGGGACGCCGTGATGTAGTGGTCGTGTAAAAAGTGCTGGATGTACTTGGCGCGGTCCGAGTCAAACTCGAGCGCCGAGAAGGCTTGCCAAAACACCGTGACGGCATCTTTGCACATATTGTCTACTGGAAATGGAAAGAAATAGATCGGAAACGTACCCGGGGCAATCTCTGTCACGTATGGCACCTGCGGCTTGTACGCAAACTCAAAGCGTAGCCGACCGTGAAGGGGAAGACGCCACGGCGTCTCGGTGCCGTCCAGCGCAAGCAGCTGCTGGATCGTCGTCTCGGCTCCATGGCTGCCACAAGTCGCGCGCTCGATGCGGCCAAAAATGAGCTTGGTGCTGCTCGTTGTGGTGGTGTAGGGTGGCAGCTGGTGCTGTACATCGCGCCACGACGCCGCCGACGGGTACAAATTCAGGAGCCAGAGGTACTCGAACCCGTGCCAGAACGAGTCCGCATGGTCCAAATCAATTGTCACGTGGCCTGCATGGACAAAGATCGTCCATGATCGCGTCCTCGATTTTGGATAATAAGGTCGTACCGAGGTGCACAGGCGTGAAGCGTGCCGGCTCGGTATGCAAGCCGCAGTCGTCGAACTGCACGGTGCGGCCTTGGGTCATCGAGAGCGGATCGCTGTACGCGCGAAAGACGGCGCGCAGCCCTTCCGTGCCAATGGGGTTCTGCGCAATGCATAGAATCTCGAGCGACGTCGAGTCGGCCCACGCGCGGACCAAACTCAATGCACTCAGCGCGCCCAGCGAGTTGCCCGTGAGGTCCAGCGTGTGTAGCGTCTTGTTGTGACGCAAAGAAAGCGCTATCGCGTTGGCACCGCCGCCGCTCCCAAGGCCATTCCACGCCAGCTGCAGGGTTTCCAGCGTCGTATTGGTTGCGAGTGCGTGGGCGAGTGCCGCACCTGTCCTTGCGCGGAGACAGTTCCAGGACAGATCGAGCAGCGTCAGCGTGCTGTTGGCGCGCACCATGGCACCCAGCGCGTCGGCGCACGCATCGCCGAGCTTGTTTTTACTGACATCCAGCGCGGTGAGGCTGCGGCTGCGCCCGAGGACGGGTCCGAGGGTCGTGAGAGCCTCCAGCGAGAGCCTAGTATGCATTGCATACTCGTGAGAAAATAGAGAAAAGGGAGATGGACCCGCAGTCCGAGAGAACGAGTGTTTGGAGGACGTGGTGGGCATTGAGATAGATGCTGAGCGCAGCAACCGTTGCCTTTTTGACTTGGTTGTTGGACACGTTGAGCGTCAAGAGTCGCGGAAAGTCCGAGCTCTTGACCACGTTGGCGACAGCGATATCCGAGAGACGGTTCTCGCGGACGATGAGCGATTGCAGCTTGGGGATCGAGCCAAGGCTAGGCATGATACTCATTCAAGATGAGATGATGGCCTGTAGAGTCGCACCAGCTGGAGAGGGCTTCCATCGGTCGATTTCCAGCGCCGTAATATGCCAAGTTGATCGCACAGGCTTCGCGCTTGGGGATAATGAACGGCTCGGGCACCAAGTGCTGCTGTAAGCACGTTCGGATATAGTCGTCGGCGCACTTGATGTTGTCATCTGTGATGTGGTCCTGGCTTCTGTGATAGTATATTGGAGTACATTGAACAAATGAAATACCGCGTCGGCGTCGACCTTGGTCGTGGCAGCCGTGCGCGGCGCCGCGGATGCCTTGGAGGTCATGTCGACCTGGCGTAGGCGGGCCATAAATTGCTGCTTGCCACCCTTTTACATCCTCTGCATGAGCCACGTCGATTCATGCATGACTATATTGTACCCAGCCATAGTTGTGCTGCATGTCCTTGATGCTCCAGCCGCCAATGGATGATGGCTCGTCTACGATCCGACATTCCAAAATGCAGACGTTGGATGCACGAGCCCTACCCTGAGACGTCTTGGGGGGCACGAACGAGGCAACGGTCGCAAATCGCTTCTCGTCGTCGGGCCGAGGCGTGCTCGGTCGACCTTCCATTTCCACCGGCGGGTCCACAAACAAATGCTGAAAAGCCTATCGCAAAAAACCGAATTGGGATAGAAACCACGTGGGTTCGACTACCATGATGGCCAGCTCGGTCTCGGTGCGGGGCAATGTGCGGGCTACGATCTTCTTCGACGGCGCCGGATGCACCATTGGGGGCCGCGATGGCTGCCGGGGCGTCGTCGGCTGCCGGGGCGTCCTACGTCATCACGGTCAATTGCAGTGCCTGTGTTGCGATATACCCGCGCGGAGTCGCGGGGGCTGTCGCGGCGCGAGTGGCGGTCATCGTGCTGCGCATCAAGTGTACATCGACTTCGGCAAGGACGCTCGTCACTGTTAGCGTCGGCAGGGCCGGGTGCAGCGGCTGCGAAAGTCGCTTGGCGCGGGTGGCGTTAAGAACCACAGAGGGACTCGTTGCCTTGCGGTTCGACGCCCGCCCCATGATTGAAGTTGCCAGCGGTTCGTATCACCGTCTATTTTGGGGCTGTGGACAGGCCATCCTCGGCATGAGGAGTGATAGATAGATAGATAGATAGATAGATAGATAGATAGATCATGTTGATGGGTGGTGTCGAGGGTTAGGGTTTTTCAAATCCAAATGATCATCCCAAAATGATCATTTGAGACGCTATGCTAGACAGTTCTCTCGACCAGCCAACACTGATATCATTCTAGGCTGGTATCGTTATGATAGTGTACATAGACTGCGAGACCAGACGTTCGAGTCTACAAAAGCGAAGTTGTCGACGGTCGGGGGGCCGCTCGTCGAGGCTGGGGGCGGATGTGCGGGTGCTGGTGGTGGTTGCGCTCTGGCTCCAAGACGTACGCTGTCGTGTGCGTCACGTCGTAGGGCTCGCCTGGGCCGAGAATCCCGTCGTCGATGAATTCATGGCTCGACGCGCGGCCAAACGTGGTGCGGAACGGACCCCCCACCCACTTGAGTTTGTTTTTCTGCATGGCAAAGCAGCATGAGCATTCTAAATACCCTGCACATCGACGCACCTCGTCGTCAATAACTTGCTGCTCGTACGAGCCGCGGTACGGTCCGTCGTTGACCACCGAGTAGAACCCGCCTTGTGTCGCGTCGCGAAGCCGCAGCTTCTCAAACTTGGCGTGTGCGCAGTATGGCTTCTTGGCTTCTTGTTCAACGAGCCGACGAACCGGCAGCGTGAAGATAGGGGCTTGCGTCGCGGGGGCTTTGGGGGGCGACTAATGCATTTAAAATGACCACTTGAACGAGATTGTAGCGGCACCCACTTGATTGGACGGTGGACGCTGGGGCGCCGCAGTGGTGTGGGATAGCGCCGAGTGCAGTCGTCGGGCGTACACAGGCCTACTCATCTCGATAATATATGCATGGACGATCGAGACGCTGAGACGCACGGTTGTGTGGTCGCGGCCGCCGAGCGCGGTCGTAACTTGGACGTCGAGACGGCCACGGACTTGCATTTTTTGGGCGACGTTCGACCTTTTGTAGTCTGGTCGAGACTCACGGCGGGCAGTACTACAAGGCCTGCATCAATCGAGCTGCTACGCAGTGTCGACGTGCGTACCGCTCGTGCTCTTGAACGCACCCGTGGGCATGCCCGTCTCGGTCGGCACGGCGCCAGTAATCGAAGCCACGTACGTGCGGTCGACGTGTTCGTGGACGCGAATCATGTCGAATTTGGCGTTGACATAGTTGGCCAGGATCGTGCTACAGAAAGAAAGACGATCCATCCATCCATTTGAAACACGCCAAAGAGTATGATACCATGTAGCGGGGTACGTCGTGGCGACCGTAAAGTGGGCACAGAGCGCGTTGCCAAATTCAATGAGCAGTGGGCCCCGTTGGCTGTCGAGAAACACCGTGTAGCTAGTCCATGTCCGCACATGGAGGGAAATGCGACACGTGTGAAGATACCGGTTGCCGCTGGTGTGCGTGATCGTCTCGTCTAGATCCCACTTGCTCGGACAGTTGACGACAAATTGAGAGAGCTCGAGACCCTTAAGGTACGCGTGCGCGCGCTGTTCGATGCGGCCGCAGCATTGCACGTCAGCGAGCTTAGAGACGAAAGCCTGCATCGCATTTCAGCACGGTAGGTTAAAAAACCAAGTGACGTACAGGACTTGTATGGTTGTTGGGCTTGCGGGTGCCTGCACGCGCAGAACTCGGTCGCGCGCCGTACGGGCGGTCCCGATCGCTCGTGTGCATGACCAGGCCCGTGTTGCCTATCCATACTCATGTCATCGATTATAAAATCAACCGAAATGGTCGTACCTTTGGGCTCCCATGTATTGTGACGGACGTTGTAGCTAAAGTAATCGCCTGTCTCGCTGTCGAGCAGCACAATGTGCGAGTTGATGTCTACACATGTAGCTCATACAGGTCGATCTACCCATGCAGTTGCAGTACCGTTTTTGGGGGCGGGCGCTCGGCACCGACCGGAGGGGGCAGCCGCGGCCGTGGCCGTTCACGGCTTGCAAGAGCTCGCCGCCTGTCGAGCAGAGGTACGCGAGGATCGCCGCGCTGACGCCCGCGCCAAAGAAGCACTTTCCGGTCATCATGCACATCTTGAGCAGCGTGCAGAGCTACAGTAGATATGCGTTGAGGACGAGAAGGCACGCGTGCTCAACTTTGCGAAGTGGCGGGGCCCACGGCGGCATGGTCACGTCGCCGTCCACAAACACAAAGTCCAGTTGGTCAAAGCGGGTAATGGATTCCGGGTCCGCGGTCACCGAGTGCATCTCGTACACGAACGCATCCAGCTCACTCCGGTGTCGCTCCTGTACCAACAAGAGTCGTCTTCGAAAGGTAGACAAAAGCGAGCACCGCGTCGTACCAAAATCAGCGGTGCAACCACATCGTGCACGTGCAAGGTCGTCAACGCTGCCTTGACCGCCGCTTTGAACTGCGCATACTTGGCGGGCGGGTCGTCTCGGGACGCATATCCGTTCACGACCAGCACCCGCATCGAGGCTCGGTCTTGTCTGAATTTATTATTAGCATGGCAACGTACCCTTCGTGGCCCGACGACCTCTTTGGTGAGCCCGTGCACCGAAGTAGTGCGCCGCTGCGCAGCGTCAGTAAGCTGCGACCGCCGTCGCCAACGCTCGTACCTGTCGTACAAGATGGTGGCGACCGGCGGCGGCTATGGCAAGCGCAGCCGCACCTGAGCGACGTCCAGTTGAAGACGCTGGTGGGATATGGACAATAAGACAATGTTGCTCATCGTATGCGTAGATCGAGCCACGAACGTGCGCTTTTCAAATCGTCTGCAAGCAGGCTAAGGCGACGCGCAAGTGCTACCACTGCACCAAGTACGACTACGATGTCTCGTAGCCAGGACGCGAGCCATCGCGGCTAGATTCGACCCGACCAAGACAGGGCTCTACTGCGATGCGTGCTTTGATGCTCGTCACCCGGCCGTGCGCATGGAGCATTCGTGGAGCCTGCTCGAGGACGACGGTGCGTGAGCCAGTTGATCGCCATACTGTATGCATCCAACCGTGCATAGAGCTGGACGAAGAGAAGCAGTGGCTCGCCCACCTCGCCCGGTACGGTCTCCTTGCCGAACGCAATGCATTAGATTCGAACCGTAGGCACAAGATGGCACAGGACTACAAAGAGCTCGAGCTGCTGCTTGGCCACACGACGTCGTTTCTCGCGTCGTCGACGAAGACGACACGCGACAACAACCGGGATGAGCACGTTGAGAAAGCTTTCAAGGACATGAAGGCGATCGACCACAACATTCGGTATCAACCGTCTACGAAAGGCGTCGAAAACGGCGAGCGCACGCTAGAGAGCTCATGCACGATGTCAAGACGCAGCTTCGCGTGCGCAACTTGCCGCAAGCCATCGCCGTGCGCAAGATCCAAGACATGTGGAAGGTCCGGAAGGCGCGGAACCGACTCAAGCTCATGATTCAAAGCATCTACGCCGAGATGGTCGACCCAACGTCGGGTCAAGTGTACGACGCCAGGGCACTCTCCAATGCTGTGCTTAGACTTGCTTCTAGGTACTACCTCAACAAACGCACCCACCAAGTCCGGTGGGACAAACCCAAAGCACTGCAGAGCAGCAGTCCCAAGCGGCGACGCAAGCTGTGCACAGCCGACGCCGCACTGTACATTCAACGCGCCTTTCGGTCCATGCGCGCCCGCAAGGCCATGCGCCGGCTCCTGCGGAGCGTCTATGTCAAGCTCCAAGACCCCATGACAGGTACCCTCCCTTAATCTTGGCTCATGGGTCACAGTATGAGCGCAGGCAATTTCTACTACTACAACAAGCAGACCAAGACGACGTCGTGGACCAAGCCTAAGCTCTTGGGTAGCGAAGAGTTCGAAGCGCCGCGGCGCCGGCCCTTGACGCCGCATGTCGCCGCCAGCATGATTCAGCGCATGCTGCGGTGCGCGGTGGCTCGGCGCCACCTGCGACGTCTCCTCTCGCGCGTCTATCAAAAGATTTATGAGCCAAGTCTCGGCCGACACTACTACTACAACGTCAAGACCAAGCACGTGACGTGGACCAAGCCGAGGTGCATCGACGACGCGGAGCTGCTCACGCCACGGTCGTTTGCGCAACTGGCGTCCGACGAAGACGCGGCGGCGCGCCAGCAACGACTGCATGTCATACGAGGCTTCTCGCTCGACGATGCGGCGTCGTACGTGCAACGCCGGGTGCGGGTCCACCAGGCGCGCGCCCGCCTGCGCAGGATGGCGCAAGAAGCCTACGTGGCCATTTTGGATCCAACGTCTGGCGCTTACTTTTACCACAATACCCGGACCGGCGTCGTCTCGTGGAGTCGTCCTGCCGTTCTTGGCAAGGCCCTTGGTCCTTAATCATGAATGCATAGTAAGTTGCTACTCTAGACGTCTCTCCACTCTGTTGTAACAAGGTCAGGATGTAGCTGGCCACGAGCGCTCAAGTTACACGCCGGGAGATCCATGCGGGCAACCAGTCCATTGCATCGATACATGGTCGGTCCTCAGCTATGAGCTGGCAGCTCGCACTTGAAGCAGACGGCAAATCTTTATCCGGACAACCTTGTTATCCCGACGCTGGTATCCGGACGTTGACGTGTGGATCGCCCATCATCATTCTCCAAGATCTTGGTCAGCATGCTTCGAGCGGTTGGCCTCGCGCAGCGCATGGTGCGCCCATCGCTGGCGCGCTACATGAGCTCGACGGCGGGCAAGGTCATCCAGTGCAAGGCTGCGGTGGCATGGAAGCCCAACCAGCCCCTCTCGATCGAGACGGTCGACGTGGCGCCGCCCAAGGCCGGCGAAATCCGCGTCAAGGTCATCGCCAACGCGCTCTGCCACACGGATCTGTACACGCTGTCGGGCGAAGATCCCGAGGGCCTCTTCCCGTGCATCTTGGGCCACGAGGCTGGCGCCATTGTCGAGAGCGTCGGGCCTGGTGTGACGTCGGTCAAGCCGGGCGACCATGTCATCCCGTGCTACACGCCCGAGTGCCAAAAGGTAGTACGACCGCGACGCATGGGCTTGTCTCACGAGGCGCTTGTAGTCGGATTGCATCTTTTGCGAGTCGCCCAAGACCAACTTGTGCCCCGAGATCCGGGGCACGCAGGGCAAGGGCGTCATGCCCGATGGCACGTCGCGCTTCTCGATCAACGGCGAGCCAATTTACCACTTTATGGGGTGCTCGACCTTCTCCGAGTACTCTGTGATTGCAGAGATCTCGGCAGCCAAGATCGACCCGACGGCGCCACTCGACAAGATGTGTCTCTTTGGCTGCGGCGTCTCGACAGGCTTTGGTACTGTGTTCACGGTATATCCAAGGAGGGATGTGAACGCTCGGGCTGCTGCGATAGGTGCTGTCTTCAACACGACCAAGGTCCATCCCGGGAGCTCGGTCGCCGTCTTTGGCCTTGGTGCCGTCGGCTTGGCCGTCATCCAAGCGGCCAAGATTGCAGGCGCCACGCGCATCTTTGCCATTGACCCGAACCCGTCCAAGTTTGAGATGGCGACGTCGCTTGGCGCTACCGACTGCCTCGGTACAGCCAACATGCACCTTCCACATCATCCTTAGCATATTCCATGTGCTCGTAGATCCCACGGCGCTCGACGAGCCGATTCAAAACGTCTTGGTCCAAAAGACCAAGTGGGGCATCGACTACACGTACGACTGCACGGGCAACGTCGAGGTACTGCACATGTGCGCCCTCGTGGTGCCATCCGCATGTGCTGTATGTAGGTCATGCGGGCGGCGCTGGAAGCATCGCATCGCGGCTGGGGGCAGAGCTGTGTCATTGGCGTCGCGTCGGCCGGCCACGAGCTCCAGACGCGGCCGTTCCAGCTCATCACGGGTGCGTTCATTTTCGTACAAGAGACCTTTGTATGCAGACGATCCGTAGGGCGCACGTGGAAGGGCACGGCATTTGGCGGCTACAAGAGCCGGAGCCAAGTGCCCAAGCTTGTCGAGCAGTCGATGGCCGGCGAGCTGCCCATTGGTAAGACCTACCATGTTGGCACCCCTACCCCTTAGCATTATGGTACGGCACAGATCACTTTATCACGCACACGTTCCAGGGCGTCGACACGATCAACGACGCGATCAAGGCGCTCAAGAGCGGCAACTGCCTCCGCGCGGTCGTCACGTACTAGGCGTCTCTGTGCTAAAAGATGTGAAGTTGTTGACCATGCTCCATGCATCTAACACGTCGCCTTCCACTTCGCACAGATGTTGTCTTTAAAGCCTGCAGGTGGTGCGTGGCCGTGGGACGGGCAGCGGTGTCCCAATGGCGTTGTCCATGGGATGTCATATCCCTTGACCTCTGGCAACCTACCTACGTTTTGATGCATTTAAGACGATGGCCTTTCCTCGTCGGCGCCGTGGCGACAGGTGTGGCGGTCGTCAGTACTAGTACAACGTTAAGACTCCAGCGACGGGACCAGGAAGCAGGCAATTCAATTGTATTGCGTTGCTCCACGAAGGCGGAGTTCGAACTGGCTTCGCTGCATAGCACTGTGAATCGAGAAGAACTGGTAGTGCCGATGGGCCCTTTGGCTACCGAGAGAATGTATCTACCCTACCTGGCACGTGCGCTATACAGTCTAGACCATGCACGCAGACTACATGGACCAAGCATCCTGGAGTCAGAACTCTCCAGCTATCTTGGCCGGGCATGGCTTGACCTAACCCCAGACACAACGCGGGCGTGACCGTGCCCGTCGTGGCCCGCAAGACCACGAGGCTCGAGGCATGTGCTTGGTCAGCCCCAGATTGCAACAGCCATCCATCTGGACAGCCCGGAAGGGGGCCATTGACACTATCGATCGACGTCAAGGGGAGGTTACTTGCCAGCGTAGGAGGGTCTGTCCTCGCATCCCCAATGCCAGAGTCGGAGCAAAATGGAGGCACAAAAGTAGACACGGAATAGGACGAGTGGTTAGGTGTACTTGGCGATCGCGTCGAGGAGCTCGGCCGACTCTTGCACATAGTTGAGCGGCTCGAGGTTGACAATCTGCGATTTCACGCGGAGGTCGTCCATGTGCGGCTCGGCCTTGCAGCGCACGCGGAAGAGGTACGTCTTGAAGAGCGCGGCCTTGAAGAGCGATTCGTACAAGCTCACGTTAGCGTCCTTGAGCTCAAAGAGCTCGTCGGCCGTCTTGCCCTGCATGATGATCTTGCCCTGGTCGTTGAACGCCGACGCCCACGTGCTCCCCGCGCTGTCTTGGAGCACCAGCGACAAGATGTACCGGTTCTCGCACGTCGGGAGCGACGACTGGCACTTTTCGCAGTTGTAGTTGCGCGCTGCGTCCTGCACCACCTTCTTCTGGCACTTGGGACATGCCTGGTAGCTCACGTTCGCATCGTGCTTGATGTAGCTCACGGCGCCCTTGAGCGTAATGTAGTCAGGCTTTTGGCCGTACCCAAGGCGACGGTCCTTGATGTCCGTCACCAACGAGCGCTGGTCAAAGGTGCCCATGCCCGCGCTGACGCCGCCGCCACCGACGCTCAGCGACTTGGTCGCGGTCGATGCGCCGCCGCCGCGGTACCAGTTGAGGAGCCGCGCCGACTCGGGCAGCGGCGGGTTGAGCACGAAGCCCGTGCTGCTAAAGGTGCCAATGGAGCGGCCGTTGTACTCGGAGACGCGGCAGCCCTTGATCGCGAGCACTTGGTCGACCCACGTGTCGCACGTCGGGTCCTGCGCGCGCTCGCTCCAGAGCGTCACCTTGATCTCGGCGAGCGTGTCGTCGACCATGGTAATGTCACGCTTCTGCAGCTGCTTGCCTGCCTTGGACGTGAGCTCGGCGCACGGCGCGACGGTCTTGACGATGCCAATCATATCGATCGTCGACTCGGGCGGGACCGACTCGATCGATGTGATCTACGGGACGTGTCTGAGCCACGAGACAAGACGATGGTGAGAGAGAGAGGTACCGGCTTGAAGTTGTACTGCACCGCCTGAATCGCATGGTCTTCGCCGGCAGGGACAATGTCCGAGGACGCGTCAAACGTCACTTCGTAGTCGTTGTTGATGGCCGAGTACTTGCGGTTGGCCATCTTGATCTTGCCGCCCGAGAAGAAGAAGACGCCGTTGGGCACGAGCCGGTCGTAGAAGGCGTCGACCGCGTCGTTGAAGAGCGTCGCGCGAATCTCGCCGCCCTTGGCATCGAGCAGGTCAAAGCTGCAGAGCTTGCCCTGGCCGCGCGCGTTCGTCCAGTTCTTGACGGGCGCCCGCGCCGTGACACGCGCCTTGATCGTCCACCGACCGCCCGAGTACGGGTTCAACGACGCAATGTCCGAGATGCGCATGTTGGGGTCCTCGCGCACGACCGGCGCCTTGTTCATGGCCGGCGCCGCATACGGATTGCGGGTCATTGTCGTCGCCGGGGTGTGGGCCGGCGCGGCCTGCGGCAAGTACGACGGCTGCTGCACCGGGGCCGGCGCTTGGTACGACGGGGCCTGGTACGTCGGCGCAGCATACGTCGGTGCAGCATAAGTCGGTGCCGGGACCGGGGCCGAGCCCGCCTTTTCGATGCTTTCGGGGGCGCCAATGCGCTCGTAGCCAGGATGCACATCGCCCAGGCCGAGCAAAATCAAAATCCTAGGCGGTCGCATGAGCAAGCATGGGATCGTGGGGTGGCGACGCACTTGCGGCCTTGGACGGTGTTGCCGACGTAGTCCATGAGCTGGACAAAGCAGTTGATGCTCAGCGTGCCATCTTCCGTGGCCTACAGCATGCACGTTAGCTGCATGGCCTCAGGCGACGCGCGCACATTCGAGAGCTGCGACGAGAGCATCCCGCTCATGTAGTATTGGCCGTCCGAGAGGACGAGGCGGTAGCGGTCGCCGCCCTTGCCCGAGGCCGACGGGATCTTCTTGATGTCGATGAGCTGGAGCCATGGCTGGAAGCCATCCGGGCTCTGCCGCGAGTGGAGCATCTGGACCGCGTTGGGCGTGAGGGCCACCATCTTCTGTCTTCTGGGGCCAAACGGGAAATGGCCATCCGGTTAACAAAACCGGCCAAACCGTTCGCGCCAAAATTAGCCGGCGGCGGTGGCGCGGCAAGTGCCACCTCCAGGACGCCATAGCCGTACCTCCTCGCGCGGGCCGACGCGGAGACGGCGTCCCACATGCCAGCATGCTCGCTAGCCTGCCCAGCACGTTTATATCCCAATGTACATTCGTATGGGGTGGGCGCGCGACGGTCGCGAGTTCCACCGAATGCAATATGGCATATGCCGAATTTAAGCACCGGCCCGTTGCCGCCCATTTGCAAAGTGCGCTCGTACTTCAGCGGGTAGACAGGACAGCGCACTTAATGGGAGCGGCGCACTTGCGCTGCCACGTCAGTTTCAGCGTTGGACAGGCAGCATGCTGCGGCCGCGCGCCGAGTATGTGCCACCGTTCGAGCGCTCCAAGCTATGGATGTGGAGCACCGACACGTCCCGCATTGATATCATGGCCCCCAAACGGCCCCAAACGGCCCGGTCAAGTCGCAGCAACGAGTCGACGACGACGCCGTCGCGCCCGCAGACCGCCCGTCGCACGCGTGCACCGAGTAGCCCCAAGTTCAGTCGACCGCCGACCGCGCGGCGCTGTCGTGAAAACGGCATGCTGCATAGCACAAGGACGGCAAAGCAAGGCGCCGGGCGTGCGCATGAGCAGGCCGCGTCGTGTGCACCATCGCACTACCACGGGATACCAACCGAGAGCGTCCAAGGCTCTTCAGTGGAGGCCAACGACGACGATACACCGTCCGTTGTCGTATCGGCGTTTGCGGAGCCCCTCGATGCCATTGTAGTGGCGCCCGAGAGCACGGTAGAAACCTCAATGGAGCTTCGAACCTCCGAGCCTCTGGTCGAAACTAGTGTTGTGCCAGCGCTATCGCTGCCAGAGCTGCCGCCCACGCTGCACAATGTTCCGCCCGACAAGCTACACGAGCCGCGACGTCTCTCGGCAGCCGAGCAGGACGCGTGGACCTTCTATTCGATCTGCCGTGCGGGCGAAGCGTCGGCGACTGCGCGCGCGCATCAGTCGCAGCGGGCGTACCTCAAGCGGTGCTCGCAGGTGCTCACGGTGCCCAAGCCACTGTCGCTCGCTGTGGACTTGGATCTAACGGACCGCTGTCACGGCTATGCGAGCGCCTCTGCTCTGGCGAGTCGACTCGCCCACGGAAACGAGGTCTCCCGCCTCGCCCTCGCCAAGAATGGTCTGCGTAGCGATGCCGTCCGCGATCTCATGACCGCTCTCCCCACGACCGCGATATCGAGTCTCGATCTGAGCGAAAATGATATCGGGCCTGTCGGCATCCAAGCTATCACGACCGAGCTCACGTCGAACGTGTCCAAGCTCGTGCACCTCAACCTCGCGGGCAACCACTTGATGGACCGCCATGTTGTGCCCCTCGTCTCGAAACTGGACGAGACCTGTCTTGTCTCGCTCGACCTGAGCTACAACAAGCTTGGGCATGGCGCGATCGTACCGCTCGGCCGCACGCTCATGCGTACGCGGGTGCTAAAGCGCCTCAACTTGCGCTGGAACAACGTGCAGGGGCTCGGCCTCGACAGTCTAGCCGACGGTTTGAAGAGAAACATGGGGCTCGCAGACCTGGACTTGAGCTGGAACCCGCTGGGGTCGGCGGGCGAGGCGTCGCGCCTCCAAGCGCTCGCCAACTTTAGCTTGATGCTGCGGCGCAACACGGACTTGCACCACTTGGTGCTCGAAGCCAATAACTTTAGTGTCGAGGACCTCAAGCTCCTCGAGTCGGGCCTCCGACACAACTACACGGTGATTCTGCATCTGCAGTCGGACGTCGCGATCGTCGACGCCCAGCAGCATCTCCGGTTCGACCACTATACGCGCGACGCTGGCGCCAACATCACCTTGGACAAGGCCACAAACGACATCAACTGCTGGCTCTGCAGTGGCTGGTACCTCGTCGTAACAAAGAGTGCCGAATCTCCGACACTCGTAGGCGGGAGCATGCGTTTACGTTTACGTGGCAGCCGCTCAACGCGCCCAGTGTCGAAGCCGCGTCGCTGTGCCTGTCGATCGATCAGTTCCGAGGTAGAATATCGTCTGGTCCGTGACGTGGGCTCGTAGGCGACGCGATGAGCAAGGTCGATGCGGATCAGAGTTTCTTGCGGCGGCATCGGATGGTGCCACCGACACCGATCGAGTACTACTTTTCGCGCCCCAAGACAACGGTGACGACGTCAAAGGCAACCTTGAGCTCTGGTGCGGCCAGCCTGATTACGTGGGCGTATCCGCGCTGGAGCCCCATCGAGCACGACCCCACGGCACTCGTTTCAGCGTGGTCGATGCAACAGTCGCTCTTCCTCGCCCGGCAGTCCGACTACCCATGTAGCGCGATGTATGACACGGACAGCGTCCTCGCCCGCGCCGTCGCCCACGATTGGGACCGGTCGCGCATCGGCAAAGTGGTCAAGCGGGAGAAGCAACAGCAGCACTTGCAGGCGCTGGCCAAGGCCCACTACCGAGACCTGATTGAGATCTACCACTACTACGCGTCCCAGACACTGCCGCGCAGCCTCTCGGAGACGATTCACGGCTTTTCGCTGCACCAGCGCGCGTTTATTCAGTTTTGCACCGTACGTTGATTGTGGACATTGCCTTTTTCGACAAAGTGCAATCTGGGAATCGGATGTACTTTCTGACTCGAGTAGGACTGCGAGGTGTACGATGCTGCGTTTTGTAAACCTGTCGACGTGGACCGTGTCTTTTACGAGGTCAACGCGCACCTCTCGGAGCTCGGGTTTGTCGCGACGGGCGTGAGCAAAGGCCTCGCCCGGTACGAATTTCTCGAGGCGCTCGTACGCATCGCGCGTCTTCGGTTCGGCCACGTGCCGGGCCGCCGCCAACAAGCTGCTGTCGGTCTCGACATTGGCGCGTCGTTTCAAGCGCTGTTGATGCACCACGTGCTGCCGTTTGCACTTCGGTCGCCCGGCGACAGCTTTCGGTCCAAAGTCCTCTACACAAAAGGCACCGAGGATGTCCTCGAGTGCTACCTCCCGACGCTCCGCGCAGTCTTTGAAGCGTACGCGACTCCCCGCTCGCTGCCCAAGACGCACGCGCGCAGTGTGATCAAGACCAAGTCGTTTCTGGACTTTGCGCGGACGATCGATCTCTTGCGCGACGGCGGCCTCGTGCCCGAAAAGCCCACGAAAGACGCGCTCCGCACCGCCCAGCGCCTCTACCTCGCGAGCCAGCTCGCCGTGCCCGACGAGAGCACGCTTGTCTGTGCGGCGTGGCTCACGTTTTACGGCTTTCTCGAGTTTCTCGTGCGTCTCTCGCAGTCGCGCATGCCGGAGGCGCCCGATGCGCTTCCGTCCTTACTCGCGGCACTCTTTGCGAGTCTGCGAGGTACCAACGCCGCGTTGGCGCCGCGCCTGCGGGGCGTCGTGCGGTTTCTCGAGGCGTCAAACCCGGTCCGGCCCGAGTCGTTGCACGAACGGCTCGCCCGCATCTGGGCCGCCCGACGCGATGCGACCTATCTCGCCGACGCACTTGAAACAAAAGCTTTGACGTACTAGATAAAAAGGTTTGAAACTCATTATTACGGATTATTACATGCACACGACAGCACTCAAGGGCGTGAGCGAGTCCTCATCGATCGGGCTCTCGTCGCCGTAGCCGACGGGGAGACTCATCGGCTGCGGCGGCGTGTTGGGCGATGCGGCCATCGCCGCAGATTCGTTCTTCTTGCGCGCAACGAGGACGCCGCCGACAACGGCCAGCGCGGCGGCGCAGCAGCCGACCACGAGCGCCATCGTGGTCATCGTGCTCGCCGCACCAGCGTTCGCGTTGCTGGCGCCCGCCTTGCTGTTGTCGGTCATGGCTTGGCTTTGGACGCGCGTACCGTTGAGGGTCAGCGCGGCGTCGATCGTCGGCTCGGGCGCCAGCGTTTCATCGGCAAGGAGCGTCGCATCCGAGGGCGCGGGCGTGGTTGCATCCGATGGCACAGGCGTGGTCGCATCCGTAGGCGCAGGCGTGGTCGCATCCAACGGCGCGGGCATGGACGCATCCGATGGCGAAGGCGTCGTGATGGCGGTGTGCGTCGCCGGGGCGGCCGTCTCCGATGTCGTCGACGGCACCGACGGGTGGCCAAGCGACGCGGCAAGCGCATCGCACGTGTCGACAGGCGACCGCAGCGGCATGCAGCCCATGACGACAGTCGTTCGCTGCGGCAGTTGCACGCAGCACGAGCCGTAGTGCAGAAATTCCTGCGGGCCCGGGCACATGCCGACGCGGGTCGGGTCGTCGCCCGAGCACGGCGACGGGCCATGGACCGTAAAGACACGGTCGACACCGTTGACGCTGACGGTGACGTCCGAGGCGGCGGCGAGCGCGGCGGCGCCGAGGAAGGCAAGGGCGGTAGACTTGATCGTCATCATCGTTTCAGTCGTAAGTACTAGTACGAGTGTACGTAGTCAGGCGTGAATTCGCAACTGAGCGCTTGTTACTGCCACGGCGCAGCCCATTACAGCCGCGAATCTGCATAGTCTCTACCCACGCGTGTTTTGCGTCTACACGGTATTGAAATGCGCACGCACGCATACAAACCGTCAGATCGAATAAAATGTTTCACATTAAAAACGACCCGCTCTCCGTGATACACAAGTCCAATCTCTTGGCAACAGCACGAGGTAGAGCGTGGGAGGACCCGACGGACGCTGCTGCGACTGGAGAACGACGGCGCAGAAAGTGCTACTCCTACGGCTACTGGTTCGACGCGATCAACGACCGCGACGGCTATAGCGTCGCGGTTAAAGAGACTGCGACCACCCAACCGGTTGAAGAAACCAGCGCCGACCAAATGGCGGGCGGCTCCAGAGAGCGCACCACAGAGTCAGTGGAAAGCGCTGGTCGGCGCGCGTCGAGTGTCTAACGTTATTAGTGAGAGCAGAGACGGCCATTGTATTGGTCGGATGGAGGTCTGCTTGACCGATCGCTCCTACCGTGCGATATATACCTGTCCACCGAATGCGATGGGAAGCAACCTCTGTACTACAGTCGTTCAGAGGCGTCTCTCTTGGTCCTGTGTTTGATGGCGATGCTACAAGGCGGGCAGGTTTCTTTTTCGTTGGAAACGTGGGTGTAGAGGCCTTCTCGATGGCTGCTGCGGCTAATACCGCGCGATGCACGAGCGTGGTGGCCACCTGGCGTTGGCGATTCGATTGCCACGCCCCGCCGCATTGGCCGCCACATACAAAGCCCGAGGTGGAGGCCCGAGTTGGAGGTTAGCAGCGGGAGACGAGCGCCGTGTCGAATCTAGCACCAAAGCTTCAACTTGCTCGCCCCTCGTACGGCAGCTCGTTACGGACGCACACCCTGTCCTTCTGTAGTAGTAGTGTCTAGCAGTGCCTGGTACTAGTTGTGAGTGTCTGCATTGCTGCAACGATGGATGCTGGTCTAAAGTCGATCCCAGATCGTGTGCTAACGGTGCTGCCAGCTGCTGCTGCCACGTTTGTTCACCGTGTGTGTGCCTAAACTGATCAAAATCAGGGTCTAAATTCGGCTTTTCAGCTCAATTCGGACATGTCCGAAAGCGAGCGATGGCGTACTTGCTGGAGGCGCTCCCGACCAAGGCCGCGATCGACGATGCGATTCGCGGGACGAAGGACAAGGTGCTGGTCTTGCGCTTTGGCCGCAGCAGCGACGCCGTCTGCCTCCAGATGGACGACATTGTACGCCGTCTCGACGCGGCGACATGGGCTCACCTGCCATCGCGTAGCTCGCCCGCTGCGAGGTCGAGCTCTCCAAGATGGCGCAAGTGTACACGGTCGACACGGACAATGTCGACGTCGAGATCTACTGCCAGTACTTTGACGTGAGCTTGATTCCGTCGACCATCTTCTTCTTCAATGGCCAGCACATGAAGGTCGACTTTGGGTATACCGTCAACTTGTGTGCTCGCCCTCTTCATGCATGCTACAGCACGCCCGATAACACCAAGTTTGTCGGCGCCTTGTACACCAAGCAAGACTGCATCGACTTGGTCGAGGTAAGCATCCTCCCAATTGTTCCTCTATCGCTCATCATCTGGATGAGGTCATTTTTCGGGGCGCGATGCACGGCAAGTACATTGTCCTCTCGCCGATCCCCCACGAGCGCATTCCACAGTACACCATATATGAGACACGTCTGGCGTACGATAATGGTCAATCTGTCATTGTAGGTACGAACTCTTGTACAAGGATTTTTAATGTTGTAATGCACGCAGCTCGCGACTGAACTCTTCAAACGTCTTGGACGGCAGCGGCTGGATCCGGTCTTTCGACGGCGATGTGAGGTCCGGCTTTTGGTTGCGCAGGGTCTTGTACGCCTTGTCCTTCTGGACGGCGCCGCGCCACGCTTGCTCGACGCGTGTCGGTTTCTGGGTCGTCGTTGTTTGTGCGTGGTGACGTGGCGCGACCACGTGGTCGCTCGCATGAAATTGGGCATATTGAGACACTTTGACCTAGTCGTAGTGTACAAGTCAACGAGGAAAGGTGGTGCTAGAGAACGAGTACCTTGGCTTCGGCGTCGTCTGGCGCCAAGCGCTGGGCCGCGACGTAGTCTTGGAACGCTAGCTGGCTCTGGTCCATGTACCGAAAGCAGTCGCCGCGCCGAATGAAGAACGCAGGCACCTTGTGGTTGTGTCGGATCGCCGACGAAAACTCAACCTCGGCCTTATCGAACGCGGCGCGGTTGAAGAGCTCGAGCCCAAATTGGTAGCGGATCATTGCAATGCGTGTGTGGATCTCCGTGTCCGTCGGCTGGAGCTCCCGCGCCGTGTTGTAGTCGGCGAGCGCCGCTTGGAGCTTCCCGAGTGCGCGGTAGCAGTCGCCGCGGTTGACGTGGTACCGGTAGTCGATCGTCGTGCCTTCAAAGCGAGACGACGTTATCGTCTCGGACGCGATCGCCTGTACAACAACAATGATGTACAACTTGGCATCATTCGCGCCGACCGAGTGTACCTGGTTCATGGCCGTGAGACCCGCTTCGAACTCGCCGGCCTGGATGTGCATGACCGCCATGTCTTGACATTAAATGAGAGAGGATCCAACGGACTATGTAGGGTACCGTTGAGAATGAGGTTGCGCTGCCGGCTAATCTCGGGGTGCTCTTCCGTTCGCATGTGTTGGTCGAGCTCGTCGCCAAGCTGCTTGCCAAAGAAGCACCGGGATGCGCGCTCAACGTCCGCGAGCGCGGCGCGGTAGTCCCGCTAGCCATGCACCGATTGTCAGCAACCTGTAGTGTACAACTTGTCATGTACAAGCTCGCGAAAGACAGAGGCGCGCAAGATGAGCACTTTCGGGTCCTCGGCGTTAAATTTGATGCACGAGTCGAGGCAGTCGAGCGCCTTGGCGAAGTCGCGGCCCAAAATGTGGCGGCACGCCATGTCGTGTAAATGCTGCGACTGGTGCCACATTTTCCGCTCAAAATCCAGCACCTACGCGTACGTCGTCGTCGTCTTCGTTCCCAAAGAAGTATCCAAGAGGACCTCGGGGTGGTTGGGGCAGAGTTTAAAGGCCCGTGCAATGTCGGTGTTGCCCTTATCAATGAGCCCGAGCTTCCAATGCAGCTTGGCGCGCAGCACGAGGATGTCGGCATCGTTGGCATCAATGCAAATCGCGTGGTCGATGTCCTTGAGCGCCTTCGTCCAGAGGGCGAGGCCCAAGTACGCGAGGCACCGATGGAGCCAGTAGTTGGCCTGGAGCGCGTCAAGCGCGACTGCATCCGTCAGATAGACGATCGCGGTCGAGTACTCTTTGTCGAGAAGGAACGAGTAGCCCTAGAGAAAATCCTCTTGTACCTTGTACGAGAGAAAGAAATGATGTCAATAAGTTTACGTGGGCGTTGAAGACAGCTGCGATCTCTTCCTTGATGGCTTGGGGCGGGTTGTTTTGGAGCGAGAGGAGCTTCTTAAAGTTGCCAATGGCCGACTAGACATGTGTAGCGATCGAGTGCATGATGACGATCGGACCTTGAAGTCGCAGAGCTTGGCGTACGCCGACCCGCGTGCCGCGTAGAGGGTATAGTCGTCGGGGCTAATAAAACACGCCTTGTTGTAGCAAATGATCGCCTTCTCATAGTCGCCGCGCCGGACGTGGACGTCGCCCTCCATCTTTTTGGTCATGGCATCTTCGTGGAGCAGCGCTTTCGGCGCCTTGACCGTGTCCATCGCTGCGTCTAAACGCACGCAACGTGAGGGCGGTTTCACATGAACCGACGTGTGAAACCGTCGTTCCCAGTAGCCACGGGCACTCGATGGGTCATATTTTTCACATTTATGATACTATACATTTATGATACTATACATTTATGATACTACAAGGGTTGCTTCCTTCAACAGGTTAGGTGACTCGACATGGTTGGGTTCGTACGAATCCTTTCCTAAACTTGTTATAGAGAGGGTTTTGCATTCCAATGGATTTTCTTTCGCAGTCGAAACGAGCTCGCAATCCGCTGCGCAATAAGGCCGTAGTCCGTTGTACAAATATCAGCTTGCAAGATCCATGCACCATGCACGACGACACGGTTCGTCGAGCGATTGCGCACTGTCGGCTCTTTGGCGCGCCGCAACCTTTCGAGATACTTCAAGCGGCCGACTGCAGCGACGGGTGATGCTTTGAGGTACGAGTCAGCGCATGGACTAGTCAAAGTACCCGGTAGGTAGGTTGCACCAGACTGCGCCGTGGATGCAAGCAGTAGCTACGCGCCAAGCACTGAACAAGGTAGGACCATACAACATATCTTTGTGTCGTGCTGGAAACCAGCAGTCTTGCAAGGACGCTAGGAGCCTTCGAACAGCTCTTCGATCGAACGCACGTGCAGTTGCAAGACGCTCGTCTGGCTACTGTGCTGGCCTCGTTTGGGTGTGCAGCAATGATGCGGTATCCGGATTATCCGGATATCCGGCCGCGACCATCCAAGTGTCCATGACTCCGCCCATGGATCTCGTGTGCTTGCAGGTACTGTACCGAGGTCGCTACGCACTCTACGTATGTACTTCTACGGAGTAGGGTGGCATGCATAGTACTCGCATTCTATGAACTCGGCATTTTGTGGCGTTCCAACCATCCACTTGAACACCAAGCGCGTGCGTTGTCGTGTCGTCGGATGGATCTATCCAATACGCCGTGTCTGCTGGCGCCAGACTGGTCCGCGGAAGGCCAACGCTGCGATCACCTTGTTCAGAGTAAGCTTCCAGTGCGTCATCAAGCACGATCAAGAGGTCGGAGGCCCACCTTCGTGCCGCTTCCGCACAGTTCATCGAATCTGGGTAGCGAGCCAGGTCACCCAAAACGAGATGTTGAAAATTCAGCTACAGCAGCAAGCCCGACGCTTGCAACCACCGGTATACCAACGACGGCTCGACACAGTGTAGATAATAGACGTTGGTGGTGATGGTCGGTGGTATGCACACCACCATAGCAGCGTACCATGCACACTGATTCGCTACGCTCCCTATTCAGCAATAAGAACTCGGCGCAATCATCGTTTGAAAATCATTTTTTAGCGACAAAAATCACATGCCTCTGAACCTACGGCAACGGACAGAACCTCGTTGAAGGAGCGTGCTGTGCGTGTTTATGGCAAGGCCCGTGCGCATCCTTCATCTTCGCGGCAACTGCGATCGGTGTCGCGGGTTCTTGAACCTCGTATCTGGCTTGACCGCTCGATCTTTGAGCGTCAAGGAACCGAGACGACGACGCGACGCTAGGTACTGCATCATGTCCTGGCGATCCTTTGCAACAAAGCTGCTCGTCGCCACCATAAAGAGGCGTAGGAGGCCACATGGACGCCGCGCCCGCCGCTGCATCTGTCTGGTACGATCACTTGTCGAGGCCGGCACGGGACGCCGCCACGCGTCCATGGGCCGTCGCCACTCAAACACGCTGCAGCCACTGGACGCTGCGAAAAAAGCGATGTACACGACCCAGCCGGGACCTGCCGCATTGTCTCGTCCACAAGCATACAATACAGATGTACGCTTGTACTTGATGTATGTATGCCATGTGTACGCTGTGTACGTACAAATGTCGGGTCCGAACGAACTTATCTGGACCTATCAGGGGCCCGCAGCGGGATGGGACGTTCGGTCGTTCGCCGCCGAGACGACACACGCTGGATCGCGACGTCATGCATCCAATTACACCGCAGTCGTGCGGCAAGCCTATCAAGCCCCTGCCGACCACCCGCTGGACAATAACCTCGCTTTAGTGACCTCGATATACAGGCCCGTGGCGCCAAAGCGTGGCATGGTCAACATCCGAGCTCGATGTTGACTCGATGCAGGTGTCCTTAGCCTTTACTACAATTATTGTACGCTCTCGTCTTCCTCTGTGATAACGAAATGGCCGCGCCCCACAAACATCCCTCTCTCCGCTCTCGTCGTTTGTCGAGCGGAGACGATCCACGAGCGCCAAGATACAGTGCAATCCAAGCACGCTGCAGCGCTAAGAAGCGTTATGACCGTTCTACGTTGACCATGCAGTCGACCGTAGTGGTCTGCAGACAGCAAGGGAAGAATCCCTTGGCAGACCGTATCACGCTTGCATTGTGGTCGTTCGGCCGAGGGGTGAGGGAATGAGTGGCAAAGGGCAAACTCGATTAAGTACGATGGTCAAGCGCGCATGCGGCAATCGTCATAATTGCAACGTCTGTTCGAGTGACACATGGCCCATTCGTTGACCGAGCGGTCGAGTCGCCACAGCACCAGTAGCCTCCTTGCACCCGTGCGGTTTCTCTCGCGCCGCCTCCTCCCTGCCACGTCTGCAGAAGCACGCGCCGCCGGGTACGTGTCTATGACCATTGCAAAAGACACGAGCGCAATTCTGCACTCTGCTTTTCGCCACGCCAACTACGTACTCGCATGGCGCTCAACCAACTCCTCCATAGAAAAAGCCGCCTCACGCGCCGGCGCGCCTCGAGCATCCGGACCATGCGCAACGTCGAGGTGCCCCGCTACGAAGTGCTTCGGTCGTCGAAAACGACCGTGTACATTACGACGGTCGACAACGGTACCGACTACTGGGAACTCCCGATCCGGTACTCCAAGTACCACGACTTCTTCACAACGCTCTGCAAGACGGACAAGAAGTGGGTTGCGAAGCTCCCATTTCCCGAAAAGTCGTTTGGCTTTGGGAAGGACTCGCCCGACTTTCGCCGGCGCCAGCTCGACCTCTTCATGCGCCAGCTCAACGCGCTCTTCACGTCCCTCTCGGCCGAGGGCCAGGACGTCGTCATGGACTTTCTCGAAGCCAAGCACCACGTCTACCACTACGAGCGCGAAGCCTCCATCTACGACCATTACGACGACGAGAAGGCGTCGCGCCGCGGCTACAAGTCGTCGGTTGCGTCCGACACCGACTGCGAAGACAACGCGAGCGAGCACAACAACCTTGACGGCCTCTCGTCACCGTCGTTCCCGGATCGGACGTCGTCGCTCCACCACGTTCGGTCCTCGTCGCTGCATTCGTCGTCGCACTGCTCGTCGATCCACGAAGAAGAGGTTAAGCTCCCACCGATCGTTGAGCCCGTGCCGACGCCAGTCGCACCGACACCGGTGGTCGCGCCCGTCGTCGCACCGACGCCGACCGTCGTTGTCGCAACACCGGCACCGAAACCCAAGCTCCACACACTGGTGTCGCAGGTCGAGGGCTATGCACCGATGGGCCCGTCGGCCGCGCCGATCTGGCAGCAGCACGAGACGACACTCTCGACGTACACGCGACCCGCACACCTCAACCCTGTTGTCGTCAAGACGTGGGGCGTCCTGTACCCGACGCTGTTCCCGCAGCAGGTCGGCGGCGCTCCCAAGCCGCTTGCGGCCACCACTGCGTCCGACTAAGCTCGCAGTACTTCACCACCTTCCGTCTACGAAGCAATCCCCCACCAGTTCCTATGTAATGTATATAAGATATGAATTTTCTCCCAACGACCCTTGGCTTGCTCTCGAGACACGTGCGAGCTCCACTGCCCGGCCCCGGGTGTAGTACACTTGCCTGCTCCAACTGCCTGCCACAGACTCGATGATATACGCTGGTAAACATGACGGAGATACTAGTATAGATGATGTGCGTGCGTCGAGCCTTGGATCTTGCCGGGGACGTGAGCTGACGAGGGTGGTGCGTTGTCCACAGCCATCAACGAATGACCAAGCTATGAAGCTAGACCCGGCGGGGAAGACCTGTGCTTGCTACAATCCGGGACCAGCGATCGCTGTCAAGGAGAACAACCCAACGAATGACATACTATGAGATCCGTCACTCGTGCAAATAAGACGTTGCATTGGCCGGGTGTGGTGGAAGATTGATGATGATTGTACATGCTGGAATCGAAACAGCGGGACACCACTCGCCCGACGCCGAGGGTGACCTTGAAGCCGTGCAGGCAACAACCAGCTGGCAATCAATGCACGACACGGCATGGGCGCAACCATTTTTACGGCCGCTTGCACAGTGATGAGGCGACAATGGATTTCGCAGAGAGATCGTATCACGGACCACGGCGTTCCGATGCGCTTGCATTCGCCCAGTTGCGCGACCCATCGATGGCGCCCACCCTCGATGCCAAGCCGCTTGTACCTGCCGCGCGTGCGCCCACGTTGCGATGGCCGCTACCGTCGTCGTGTTCGTCGTTGCGAGCCTATATATCGCCACGGTGCTAAGCGCGCTCCTCAAGCCGCGACAGTACACAACCATCGAGACCGACGTCGCGTACGACGGCCACAATGCGTCGGTGGTTAGGACGCTCGACGGCTGCATGGGCCTCGGTACGAGGTATACGTATGGCGCAACCTCTCCAGCAACGCCACGTGCACCATCAAGGACTCGGTCGGCGTCCGCCGTCACGACGCGGCGCTCGCCATTGTCCCTGCGACGATCCCCGCGCGCCATCACCGTTCGCTTTGGAAGCTCTGAGGGCCCGCCTCCGCTGCCAACGGTCGCCTGCAGCTATGTCCGCGGCGCGCTCTGGCTCGACGAGGCGAATGCGGCTGGCCACAATACACGTTCACCTACGCCGAGTCCATATCGGTGAGTGCGCGCGGCTGGCCACGACGGCGGGGCAGCCACTCTTCTCGTACTCCACCACGTCGCGCGTCGGCTCTGTCTTTGAGTACGACGCTGCAAATCAACCGACGCGCCCCAGCTACATGCGCATGCAGGACGGCCGCGATGTGCTTTTGAAAGCATTCCAGCGGCGTTCCTTGTCGCCACACGCTGGTGTCGACGCTCGCCGAGTGCCCCACGGCGTGCACGGGCAACCAGGCCGGCCACGCGCCAAGAGCCACAATCCTCTTGTCTCGGACGAGTGCTTCAACAACTCGTCGCCATGCCCATGCGTGGCTCTTAGTTGACCACTACCGTGCAGAGATGGCCAACCTGGATCGGTCGAGACGCCGCTGCTTCAAGGTGCTGCGACCTCGACGCGCTTCAACCCGAGGATCGCAGCATCTTTCGAAGCCAATGGACCGAGATTGAAGCGTCCCGACGCTTTCGAAGCGACCGTCTCGTCCGTCGATCGGGTTGTTCGCCCAGCCGGCGTGCTGGGTACTCCTCGGAGTACCTTGGCTGCGTGGAGATTCTCATGGAGGAGGATGGGTAGCCCAGTCCAAGCAGCCGAGTCTGCTTGGTATCCTGGTATAGCGCGCCCGAGCACGGACCGCCACCGCTCCTTACATACCCGACGTCTACCTGCGGTCGTACCTCCATCTTCTTCGAATCGAAGCCAGGAGGATGATGATCATGCTGCATGAGAACTTGGCACCGGTGTGTATTTAATTGCAACAATCAAATCCACCCCATTATACCTTGCTGTTTGTATACACAGGACAAAGATCGCATTCTATTGCGTGATCGGCAATCGTCCAATCAAAAGCGCGCATGGGCGCGTCGAACGGCTGTCTTTTTAATTTTGGACCCGTTACGACGATGCTTGTTTATTTTATAATGCAAGCTTTGTATGGATAGGTCGATGGTGGTGATTAAATGCGATCCCGTTTTGCACGTACTATTGAAGCCCGGATTAAAACGACTTCATTTTCGCCCGCGGAAGCATGGACACCGACGCCAAGATGCATCCTACGCGACGAGGACGAGGCGAGAGCATGAACTACTACGAGCGCAAGCCCTCGGACGCACCATGGTTTGGCCGCCGGAAGGCCCGGCGCGGCCTGCAGCGGTCCTCGTCGCTGCCCAACATGCACCTTCAGGTAGATCGACCGGCGTCGATGCGTCGATCGATGCGTCACACGTGTAGGGCGAACGCCCCGTCGTGCCCAACATCTTTCCAGACATGGACGTCCGGTCGCTGCGGCTTGCCGAAGTCCGGAGCTGGCGCTGCCCTTGGATGACCAACGACGTGCCTGGGCCCGCACCGCGGTCGGTTGCGCATGAGCTCGAGCATGTCATCGAAGAGATGCACAACACCTTTGAGCACGAAGGAGACGCAAGCAACCCGCCGCCCGTGCTCAAACTGGATCGAAGCCAGTCCGAGAAGACGCCACTGACGATCACGGCAGCGACGCCCACGTCGAGCGCTGCGACAGAGAGCCCCCACACACCGCCTCCGCTCACGCCAATCAAGGTGCCCGCGAAGCGCCCCGTACTGCGGTTAAAGCTCGACGAGATGCCCACGTCCCAGCAAGCCGAGAACCGCGCGAACCGCGCGGCGAACCAGCTCTTGGCGAAGCGGGATGCGCTCGAACGAGAAAGCGGCGTGCATCAAAGCAACAACCACAACCCGACGAGCCACATGCAGCGCGCCATGATGGACCTCAAGCTCGTCTCCGTTGGCTCCAACAGCGACAGCGACACGATGTCACCGCATGGTACGACGACGATCGCTCGTGACCTTGTCTCATCGTCACGGTAGACGGCGAGGGCGGTCGTTTTAGCCAAGGCAGTGCCTACTCGCCCAACCACGGCATGTTCACCACCAAGTCGGTCTCGGTCTCGGAGGCGGGGATCGCTTCGCCAGACGCCACGCATCTGCATCTGCAAGAGAACCTGGTGCGGGTCCGTGAAGTGGGCCGTGGCGCGTCCGGTATCGTCTTCAAGGCCGTGCACATTCCGACGCTCAAAGTGGTCGCTATCAAGGTATGGCCATGTTTCTGCGCTCTCTTCGCCCATTGAGTTCTAGGATGTGCCCGTGTACGGGAAAGGCCAGCGCCGGCAAATGGTACGGGAGCTCCACGCGCTGTACGCGAACCTCGTGCCGCTCACAGAGTCCCGCACCGCCCCCGTGCGCATGTACATTCCTCTTCCATGGCATCGATCGCCTGACGAGAGTGCTGCAGGCCGAGTCCGTACATCGTATCGTTCTACGACGCGTTCGTCGACAAGCCCAAGAACTGCATCTGCCTCGTCATGGAATTCATGGGCGTCGGGTCGCTCCAGGACATGGTCGTCCACGGCGGGTGCACGTCCGAGGCGATTCTGTGCCGCATCGCGTCCAGCGTCCTCCGCGGCCTCGCGCACATCCACGCCAACCGCATGGTACATCGCGACATCAAGCCCCACAACCTGTTGCTCAACCACGCGGGCGACGTCAAGATCTCGGACTTTGGCCTCGCACGGACGCTCAACGAGCACGCGATGCACACCAAGACGTTCGTCGGCACCTTGCTCTACATGGCGCCCGAGCGCATCGGCGGCGGCGACTACGGCTACCCCTGTACAATCCTCTCGACCATGATGGCGCTCTTGACGATCGCGTGTAGCGGACATTTGGTCGTTTGGCCTCGTCTTGCTCTCGGTCGCCCTCGGGCGCTACCCGTTGCCGACACAAGACGGCTTCTTCGGTCTCTTTGATTCGGTCCGCATTCCGTCCTTGTTACGTTGTTGAGAGGCGTGCGTAGGTGGCGAACGAAGCCTACCTCAAACTGCCCCCCGACTTGTTTTCGCCGTCGTTGCAAGACTTTCTGGACAAGGTACGGACTCTTGTGTACCAAAACGAACGGGGATGCGATTGATTGTTGATGGGATAGTGCCTCACGATCGAGCCGGACGAGCGCTGGACCGCCGACCAGCTCCTCACGCACCCTTTTGTACACCAGTTTACACCCGACGCGACGCTCGCCGAGGTATTGCATTGTCGTGCAATCCTTGGTGCTAGGATGTGGCAACGTATAGTGGAAGACCTTTGTCGGTGGCATGTCGGAACCGCGCGAAAAATCGCTGCAGGACATTAGCGACGCCGTCATGCACCGCGTCTACGACCGTGCGGCCAAGTGTTTTGTGCCACAGGTACCTCTACTAGTCCGCATCCCAAACCCTCAAGAAGAAGAGTTCTAGTCGGATTACGGCATGTCGATGTTGACGCCGGAAGCGTCGTCCCGCAACGTCATCTTGCCGCCGGTCGAAACCAGGTCCTCGTCGATTGTTGATATGTAGCTCATGTCACCAACTCAGTTTGCAACTGGGGCTGGCCAACTATTTGGAGCTGCCACCGGCGACGGTCTTTCAGGTCTTTGAGCAGGTATACCTACCCTCTTGTGGCTGTATCATACTGTTGGACTAGAAACGGATCGAGTACGAAGAGAAGCTGCTCGAGGATCACTTGTGCCAATCGCCGCAGAGCTGGGCCAATTCACCCGGCGACCATCGGCGGCAGTCGCTCTTGGGGTCGTCGACGTCGGTCGTGGTCGTCGCCGACGACGACCCGCCGCCCCACACGCGCCGCCCGTCGTTCTGGACGCGACTGCACAACAGCGTGAAAAACCTCGGTCGGCGGAAGGACTCGTAATCGATGCTTAGAGGGTCTTTCGATGCACAATGGACGCGCCGTGCTCCTCGTACTCTGCCTTGGTGATCCACATGGTCTTGAACGTCGCGAGGGACGCGAGGATCGAGCCGCCGATCCACGTCGAGTACTGGCGCGCGGGCGGCGCCGAGATGCGGATCTTGATGTCCTTGGGCGCCTTCTTGCGGACTTCGGAGAGGAGCCGGTCGCCAAACCCGGGAAAGAGCGTCGAGCCACCGCTTAGAACGATCTGCGAAAAGAGCGTCTTGCGCAAATCCATGTCGGAGCGCAGGATCGCATGCACGAGGCAGTCCTGGACACCTACGCAAACGACATCGTCGTCGAGGACTCGAGGAGAGACGCATCCTACCCGTGTACTCGGAGCCGATGAGGTCGGGGCGGAAGAGGATCTCGGGCGCCCGGAACTTTTCTGGACCGAGCTACACATGCCATGGCCATCAGGAGGAGAAGGACGGTGTAAGATGCGCGACGTACGTTGAGGACACTGCCGTCCGGAAGGCGGTACTCGGACGAGGCTTGGGCGGCCGAGGACGGCGTGTCGCCGGCGGCGTGGGCGAGCTGCTCTTCCTTGGCCGGGTTGAAGGCCACGTAGCAGAGCTTCTCTTTGATCTCCTTGACGATCTCGAGCTCGGCGGATGTCTGAAACACATACCCTGCCCGGCGGCAGAGCAGCTGGAGGTAGTTGGTCACGTCGCGCCCGGCCACGTCCATGCGCGTGATGGCATGCGGCAGCGTAAAGCTCTCGTAGACGGGCACGACGTGCGTGACACCGTCGCCGACGTCGAGGACGACGCCCGTCGTCCGGCCGGACGCGTAGAGCGAGAGGACGGCTTGGGGCGACACGAAGAAGGCGGGCGCGTTGAAGCTCTCGAAGAACACCTCGGCGGCCTTGACGCGGTTCGCGGCCGGGTTGAGCGGCGCCTCGGTGAGCAGCACGGGATGCTCTTCGCTCGTGATGTTGAGCATGTCCTTCGAGTACATGTGTTCCCAGATGCGCTGCATGCGGTCCCAGTCGGTCACGATGCCATGCTCCATGGCGTACTTGATGGTGAAGAGGCCGCGGTGCTGCTGCACGCGGCTGCCGACGAACGTGTCGCCGCTCTCGTACGCGCCGCCCGCCATCATGCGCAGGTGCTTGGTCGTGCCCACGTAGCTCGGGAAGACGGCCTGCGGCAGCTCGCCGCCCGCGAAGCCGGCCTTGAGGATGCCACTGCCGTTGTCGACGACCACGGGCTGGTTGTACTCGGCCATGTCGCCGCAAAATCAGGATGCGAAAGCCCCCGTCCGGACCCGCGTATCCGGACGCCCAAGATACGCACCCAAAAGAGTGTGGCGATCGTCGATCCCCGACAATCTTATAGCCAAACAACATCATGACAATATTGTCATGTCTCCCGTCGCTTTCGAAACCAACCCAGGAGACTCTAGCAATTCGATAAAGCACATGGAAGCAGTCGAGCTCTCAGGAGGAACGATGCGGCTCGGCTCGTCGTCAAGACGCAAGAAGAAGAAGAGCCAAGACATTGTACTACATGCGGTTATCGGGACTTGTACAGGAGGAGGATCGAGGCGATCGAGGTCGAGAGCTCGAGAGGTAGTCGAGTTAGAGCGCGAGGAGGTCTTGGTTGTGCTTCAAGAGCGCACCGAGGGCGCCAAAGAAGCCTTCGTGGTGGAAGAACTGCGCTTGCATTTGCGACTTGGACCAGTAGTCGATCGCATACGCCAGCTGGCGCGACGCAATCTAATGCCACAGGTACCATGCGTGGGACGGATGTACGGTCGAGAGGAGGAGGCGGACCTCGTTTTGACGAAGAAAGTTCCCGCAAAAGTAAATCCGCTGCGTGTCCGAGCGCTGGGCACTGAGGTACGCGACCTAAGAAGAGCCCGCTCGTCGAGGTTATGCTGAGGGAGACGAGTCGTACTTGGCCAATGTTGGTGGTGATCATGATCAAGAGCGATCGCGCCACGTCTTCGTCGCGGACGCCGCTCTTGGGCTCGTACTTGGTGCCCTACGTCCATATACCTGTAGAGTACAACAAGCTAGCTCAGTCGGTCACCATTTTGCCAAAGCTGCTGGCGAGCGTGTCGGCCGAGAGGTTAAACTGCGTGTAGTTGCCGCCATAAATGTCGCCGACCTGCATCCCACCTCAGCAATTGCGATTGCCAGCGATAGGGAGACGATACCGTCATGTCGACCGTGTTGGAGTCGCCGACGATGCTCGCGTCCATGGCTTCGTCAAAGCTCTTGTACTTGGAGAGGAGCTTGCAGAGACCGAGGTACGTGCCACCGCCGAGGCTCGTTCCCGACACGCGAGTGTACTCGGTCTCGCTCGTCACCTTGAGGATGCTCACGCCGGACCCAATATTAACCAGCAAAAACGGGTACAGCTCCTACAAGCAGCAGGATCCTGCAGTCGTCCCAGTCGATGGTGCTCGTACGCTGGCCGGCGTATGCACGATCGTCTTGGTGGCTTGGCCCATGCCTTGGTGGTTCATGGCGACGTTCTAGTACACAGACACTCGATGATTGCGTGCGTTCGACAAGCCATCGTCTCTGGCGGAGACGGAGGAGGACCCACCTTGAAGGTATAGCATTCGTCCAGCACATGCCGCATGACAAAGCCGAGGCCTTGGATGAGGCACGCGAGCTCGTCGCACTTTTCCAGCGTAATGCCCACGTTGTCTTCAAAGAGCTTGCTAAACTTGAAGGCGCCGCCGCCCGTGCAGGGCATCGTGCGGATGTGTCGGTGGAAGCAGCGGTGGCGTACAAACTCGACGACCTTCTCGAGCTTGCTCGTCTCAAAGCGCAGGAAGTGGATGCGGCCCGTGGAGAGCTGCAGCGCCATGCCGTCTTCGCGGTTGGCCGACTTGCCGTACGTCGTCGACGCCATCATGTACGCGTGCACGTCGCCGAGGTCGGCGGCGTCGCGCTCGAGGTACACGAGCTTTCCGAGCGTGCCGCCGACGTCCATGCCGAAGAGCCGCCCGAGGTCCTTGTCCCGGTGGTAGATGATCCGCGCCTGGAGCCGCTTGAGCTTGCGCTTCCGCAACACGACGAGGCCGACGACGACGACCGTCGCCAGCGCAAACCGTGCCAGCATCGAGGCTTTTTTTCGTTGCATTCGGCATGTGCCGAAAATAAAACCAGCATCAAGTACTCCTAGGCGACATTGAATGGAATACGATCAAATCATACAAGTAGCACCAGCGCATCTCCACGCGGTATGCTTGAATGACATCGACGACGGCCTTGAGCTTGGTGCTCTACAAGAACCATGTGCGACGTCCTTGCCTGCTTGTGCGCCTGCTTGTGCGTCTCTTTTAAATGGTGCAAATGTACGTCATCGTGTTTTCATACCCGGTCCAGGAACCTGAAACACGCGAGCAAGAGCAATGGAAGCGCCTCCATCGGATGTCGCCGTTGTGTTACGAATGCAAGCAAGATAAAGCAGTTAGTGGCCCAACTCTGTCCGAGTTGACAATCAAGACACCGCATTTCGATATGTGTCAATAACATACTTGCGTTTTCGATATCGCTTATGAAAAATCAGATCGCTTACGAGAAACCTTTGACGGGCAAAAAGCCAACACATGTCACGATCCTCCGACAATGGCAGCGGCAGCCAAGTCCTCTTTGGCACGCACGGAACGATCTTCCCGCATCCAGCCCCATCCTAAGCGTAGCCCAAGTGCCTACTCTAGGGTGCTGTCACTGAGATCTACACGGGGACGGGTGATTGAGAGCTCGGTGGCAATCTGGCCTTGACTTCGTATCAATTTCCGTTGCCTGCTGCTTGCAAAGGTGTCGGCGCCGAGCGGCTCACGCAGCTTTCAAGTATCCATAGCTTGAGCTTTGTACATAGCGAATCGGTGTCGTACAGACGTCGTTCAGCAATGTTGTCTTGGAAGTGCAAGGGTCGTGCTGGTGCTTGGTCTTGGTCCGGTTGCCCTTCTGGGTGACGTTAGTGTACGGTATGCGGAAGATCACTTGGCGCCCGATTTCGAAATCGAATCTTGAAAGGTATCAAGTTCTTGGGTGCTATCTGCCAATAGTAGCCGCAACATGGACGACGGTAGAGTATACAAGGGCCTCGTTCGAAGGCGTCTTGCTTGATACTTCCAGGAACTTGATGCTCCTCATTGAGTTGGATGGAAATGCAGACAATATGATCTTTTTTGCAATTAAATAGGTCGCGCACACACCGATGCGGCTTGCTTACGAGAGAAAGTACTCGAGCAGCCATGCGTCGTCCTCGTCCATGAGGTCGTTGTCCGTCACAAGGTCCGTGAGATGCCAGATTGGAAACAGAATCTCGTCGGCGCCCACATCCCGCGGGCTTTCATCGTCCGCGTCGCCGATATTCACTTTGAGCGGCGGCATGGGTTGCAGCTTGATGCGCTTGGGCGGTGCTTCGACAACGTCCTCGGTACTCTCGGTGAGCGAGACGAGAAGCACGCGCTTGCCGCTGGCCGACGACGTGACGGCAAAGTTCGAGGTGGCTGGCAGCGCCTCCATGACTTGGTGGTGGAAAGGGTGCTTTTTTGAAATGGATACAATTGAAAGAGATGTCCGTGATCGAGAATGGTGGCCCCAACAGCCTCTGGGACGACCACTCGAGGCCTCGAATTCGAACGGCACGGCGACGTGGCACCCCGCACGTCTCACGTCGGCGGTCGTTTCGAAGGCAACCGCGGTGGGACGACCAACGTCGAACTAATCTTTGGAACACACGGTTGGAGATGGCGCTATCTTCCGCGTCCCACCCGACCTCGCTTCGATGGATACGGAACACAGCAATACGGTATCGTGTCGACCTCTCGTCCAAATCAAGCAGTGTCCTGCAATGGTAGCCACCCCATATTTCTGCAAAATTGCAATCATTCGTGTGCGTTCATAACAACATAAAAAAGGTTCCTTAGAGCGGTAGCAGGTGCAGTGTCCCGCCCTTCTGAAACCCTCGGTGAGAAACCAGCTGATGGCACCGCGATGGCGTTGATAGGGATGGCGTTGCCGCGGTGGTACGACGGCAATGATCTACGCCATGGATTTTTGTCGTGATGCGACTCGCTTCCTGCAGCACGGAAGCTTGATTCGATTGCATACCGCATTGGTTCCGCATGGGTTCTTCCTGATCCGTGGATGGGACTCATGCCAACGGTGATTCCGCCATCCAGCAGGACTACGTAGGTACTAGTAGTACGGTAGAATCATGCAAGCTTCGATGTTTAGCTCCAATAAAAGAGGACGACAACCTCCGGCGATGCGATCGTTTTTGTCTTCGATTTTCCACCGACGCGCGAGATATGGGCCGCGGCCGTTTGGCGTTACCACCCTGTGACGCGGGACGTTGCGAGGGCTAGGTCCTCCTTCAAGATATACCGACGTCATCAAGTCGCTGTGGATTAAATAGAATGTCTTGTTTCGGATTACGACAAGAAATACTGCAAGAGCCATAAGTCGTCCAAGAATTGGTCCGTATTGGGCTCGTCGTCGCGCCACAGGGCATCGTCGGCGAGCATCATCGTCGGCGTACTACTCTCCAACAGGGGCGTGGGTTTCGGGTCGTTGTACACTACTTGCCGGCGGACATCCGAGTCGTGCATCGGCGGCAAGAACGGGGTTTCCGTGGCCTTCTTGAGCGGTGAAATCGAGCACAGTGCCATGGCGCAGCAAATTTCGCAATGATCTGCAGGAAGCGACGTGCTGATGATGGATTTGGAACGTCGTATATTTAAACCCGTGGGACGAACCCACAGAAGCGCAGTGCCACGTTACTCGGCCGAACCACATTCTCTTTCAAAAACCAGTTACAGCGGCTGCCGTCGTCGATCACAGAGATACCCGACGACGATGCGTGCGCTTCGTCCCACGTGTCTTGCCCTGCTCGCGGCGCTCCACTCACTGCTCGCGGACGACCAGGCCAACTGGTGTGCCGGGTTTGACGAAGTCGTCTTGACCATCGACGGTCCGTCGCCTGCGTCCCGCGTCGGGGGCAGTCGTCTCTCGCCCAACATGACCTTCAACAGCAGCGTCCTCGAAGATGCCTATGCGTTCTACCAAGTGTGTGTTGCCCGCCATACGCACGAGCACGCGATCGAGGTCGACGTCGTCGCCGTCACAGGCGACACGACGCTCTTCTTATCGGCCGAGAACCCACTGCCGCAGCGCGGCCACTCGTCGTGGATTGCACAACAGCGCGGCAACGACCACGTGTCGCTGCCAACGTACTTGCCCGAATTTGCCCGCGACGGCCCCCGTATGGCACTGTACATTGGCGTGCTCGGCGTCGCGCCAGGGGCGTCCAACTTTACGCTCACAGTCGCCATCAAGGACTTGCCCGAGAACTCGGACATTCGATTGCGGCAAGAGTACTACGACAAATCGCGCCGGTCGCTGCTCGAGACACGACGTCTCCGCCGTGCGCCTAGCATGCCCTAAAAATGTTGCGATTCTATCTCACTTCTCGCTCGCTGATTCGGGCCGGAGGCGACGTGGACGAGTTCGTTATCGTCGTCGCCGTCCCTGAATATCCAAGCTCCTCCGCATCTTCGATTTTCGAGGGTTGGCAGAGACGTGGGCGAAAGGCGTACTCGAAGGGGCGAGATAGGTTGGCCTTCGACAAAAAGCGCGAATGCATCTTGGCCGAGCGACGGGGCGGACTTGCCGCCGTGCAAATCTCACTGAATTCCGCTCCGAGATCAGCGCCGAGATTAGTCTACTGGATAAGCTGGTCCCGTTCCGCTGAGAACAGAGTCAGCAAGGCACGCTCGTGCTGCCGTGAATTACGCGACAGAAGAAAGAAAATATGCTTAAGTGGGAGCTCCGAAACGTAATCTTACTTCGTCCAGAGAACTGCGCCGCCATGCAGGGCGAGCCACGACCATAATCGGCAACGGTGACCGAAATCAAATTGAAACCGCGCCGCCAAAACCGCGCCTCGTCGCCGATGCGGATTGGCTGCCGCAATGCCGGCGTGTGATTGGCGGAGCTCGTATCTGGCCTGTCATTGGTGGAGCGCCCGTGGGTCTGGCACCAATGAAATTATCGTTCCGAGTTGCTACTGCGTCACAGCGATAGCATGAGCAAGCAGAGCAATCCGGCCAAGCGGGGCGGGTTCGCGTCGTCCTTTGCGACGTCCGGCGGCACGCTCAAGTTCCAAGGCTGCGCCCACTTCCGGCAGCGGCTCGTGTGCGCGACGCTCAGCGGCCGGCGCATCCTCATCCAAAACATTCGCGCCGAGAGCGACGAGCCCGGCATCACGGAGTTTGAAGCCAACTTTTTGCGGCTCCTCGACAACCTCACGAACGGCAGCCAGATCGAAATCAACGAGACGGGTACGTCGCTCAAGTACACGCCCGGCTTTATCGTCGGCGGCACGATCGACCACGACTGCGGCACGAAGCGCGCGATCGGCTGGTTCCTCGAGCCGCTCGTAGCCCTCGCGCCGTTCGCCAAGAAGCCGCTGGTTGCGACGCTGCGCGGCATCACAAACGACGACGTCGACGTCTCGGTCGACTCGTTCAAGGCGATTACGCTGCCGCTGATCAAGGTACAATCCGTGTCCTTCTTGTATCTCGATCTCATGAGGCGCGGTAGCACTTTGGTCTCGACGAAGGCCTCGATTTCAAGGTCAAGAAGCGCGGCGCACCGCCGCTCGGTGGCGGCGAGGTCATCTTTCGCTGCCCGATCGTGCGCCAGCTCCGGTCGGTGCACCTCGTCGACGACGGCTTCATCAAGCGGATCCGCGGCGTGGCCTACTGCACGCGCGTGTCGCCGCAGACCGCCAACCGCATCGTCGACACGGGCCGTGGCATCTTCAACAAGCTGCTTCCGGACGTGTACATTTACTCGGACCACTACAAGGGCGCCGAGTCGGGTCTCTCGCCCGGCTTTGGCCTCTCGCTCGTCGCCGAGACGACGACCGGTATCGTTCTGGGTGCCGAGGCCGCGGCCACGAGCGGCAGTCTCCCCGAAGACGTGGCCAAGACGGCGTCGCACTTGCTCTGCGAAGAAATTCAAAAGGGCGGCTGCGTCGACACGACCAACCAGTGCCTCACCCTCCTCCTCATGACGCTGTCGCCCGAAGACGTCTCGAAAGTCCGCTTTGGCAAGCTCACGCCCCACAGGTACTCACACGACTGGATTGTAGTAGTATCGCTGGCTCACATGAATTATTGACGTAGCATTCAGTTTCTGCGTCACTTGCGCGACTTTTTCGGTGTCACGTTCAAGATCAAGGCCGAGAACGAGACCAAGACCGTGCTCCTCTCGTGCCTTGGCCTGGGCTTCAAAATTTGTCGAAAAGTTACTTAAACCCCGATATTCCCACTACACTATATACAACCAACCAACCGACCACTGCATGTCGTCTGAATACGTACAGGACAAGGCACCACGCGGTGCTACGCGTGTACCATGGTGCGCCAACGTTGTCTGCGCTGGAAGCGGACCATGTGGCCACGGATCCTCCCGCGACGCTCCTGACCGTCCGATTCGAATCAGATGCGACTCAGATGCAAGCCGCCAATCCGGTGCCGTTTCAACATGTGCTTTGCGCAGGCTTACACGACGACTTGTAAAAGCGACGAGGAACAAGCAACTACTTGCGGCGCGATTTCGCCTTCTCGATGTCCTTGCCCTTGGTCGGCGGCTTTTTGCGCTTGGGCTTGGGCGCCGCCTCGAGGGGCTGGATCTTCTTGCCGCCCATCTTGGATTTGATCGAGAGGCGAGCGGCCACGAGCCATTTGATTGCAATCGCCGTCGAGGCGGCGTTGAGGAAGACGGGCTGATTGGCCCACTTGGCGCCTCGGAGCGCGGCGTCTTCTTCGTCGTCGCTGACGTTGGCGACCGCGCGGCGCTTGCCGGTTTTGCCAAACACGCGGTCCTGGCCGAGCTTGTACCACTTGAGTAGGATCGCGCGCGACGCGGCGTTGAGGTGGACGCTTCCGAACCCGAGGGCCGCCGCGGTCTCGGCGTCGGCCATCGCTTGGTCGTTGGCGCCGAGGCCAAGCGGCTGCATGCGCGCTTCATGCTTTTGCTTGGCGAGGCAGTTGAGGCAGAGCGTTCGGAACTTTTCGTGCTTGATGAAGAACGCCTTCCACTCGGCCACGTTGAACTCGTCGCTCGGGTAGACCTTGTCGAACTTGTCGCCCATGACTTCGAGGGGAATCATGAGCTCGACTTGGAGCTGGCGACGACTGAGGCAGCTCTCGCACTCAACCTTGCGCGCGGCGTTGATGATGGGCTGCACTGCTTCGCGGAGTCGGAGGCGGCGGCGGGCTTTGGCGAGCCAGAGCCGAATGATGTCGCGGGACGGTGCTGTGAGCGAGACGGGCCCAAAATGCGGCCGGCCACCTAGTTGCAGCATGCATATCTAAGGTGAAGACACTATGAACACGTACTGTCGTCGTCGTCGTCGTCCGAGACTTGTGGGTTGAGACTGCTGATGATCTTTGAAAACTGCGTAATCAAGTACGGCCGCGCACGCCGCAGCGTTCGGGGCGTGAGAATATTCGGTAGCTGCTCGATGATCCACGCGCGGTTGTAGTTGAGGAACTTGTACCGGAACGTCTCGGACGTGAGCCGTTGGTTCATCAAGAACGCTTCGTGCGACGCGCCTTTGAGTCGTTCGAGCTCCTCCCAGTTGGGCACGTCCATGTCTTCGTCTTCCGGGTTGGCGATCCACATGGTCGACTCGTGCCGGAGCTTGTACAAGGCGAGCTTTCGGATCAAGTAGAGGCAAATGCGGCGCACGCAGTAGCACGTCAAGGCCATGTACGGCACGAGGGCGAGAGTCGCGGGGTCGGCAAACATGTTGTACTTGTTGCGCACCTACGTACATCCGAAATCAGTCAACCTGTCACGATGACAGATCATCAATAGATAGATGTCCACCATGATCTCGATCGCGACGACGAGCGCGAGGATCGCAAGTGTCTGGACACCGCACATGAAATGGTACTGGGACGAAAAGCACATCTGGTCGAGGTGCCGAAGCCCTTCTTCAATGCACTCGTCGAGGTTGTGCTCGAGGCCTTTCCAGCGCTTCTCGCGCTGAATGTACCGGTACCGGCAATAGACAAAGTAGTCGTAGAGCTTCCAGCCCTTGAAGAGCTCGAGCGCGTGCAAGATGAAGACGTCCGAGAGCAAGTGGTACGCGATGATGACGATGAAAAAGTAGCAGTAGTACTCGAGGTCTTGGACGCGGATGTGGTAGTTGTCTGCAATGCCGGTTTCGGCGCGAAACACAATCATAATGATCACCATCGTCGGCTGGAAGAAGGACGCAAGCGTCTCCATGCCATACTCCATGGCGAAATCAATGATCGGTTCGACCGTGTCGGCGTCCTCTCCCCTAGCTTTTTCGTTCGCTTCCTTGTCCTGAAGGGCTTTCTTGGCGTCGTCTTCCTTCTTCTTCTTCGCCGCCTCGTCCTCGTTGTTGGGGTCGATCGGCTTGCCGTCGGGACCGAGCTTCTTGGGCTTCCGCTTCTTCTTTTTCCGGACGAGAAAAAGCTTGGCTAGTCGCACGACCTCCTTCATTCCCTTCTTGACGAGCCGAAGCAACGCGTGGAGGTGGTCCAAGATGGCCTCCAACACGACGTCAAAGTAGAGCCGATGAAGAAATGCGACACCAAACACGATGTAGAACGCAAGCATGAACCCGAGCAAGTCGGGGGCCGCCATCGTAATGGTCGCAAAGACACATTGGTCGCGCACTTAAGCGGACTGAGGAGGAGCCGGTCGTGCAGCATGGCTTCGCCCGCCATGTCGATGATCGGGACGAGCAGTTTGGTCATGAAGAGGATGTACCACATGTAGTTTGGAAAGTCGTTCCAAAACGAAAACTCGACAATCACCGTCAGGAAAAGTGCCTGGAGCACGCTGGCAAAAATGAAGCTGGACCGCATCCACAGTGTCGGCTTCCACAGCGAGTCGTCTTCCTCTGGCAACAGCGCATCGCTCTTGTCGGATTTCTCTTCGGCCGCGCGCTCCGAGATCGATATGGTCTTGGGCACGAAAATCACGGCCGCTTCGTGCATCAAGTAGCACCCGAGAAGGAGAAAGCAGAACCCGGTCCGACCGTGACGCATCGTCGTCACGAGCGACGGGTCGAGGAGCGCCGCGTTGTACTGACTCTTGACGTTGTCCAGCAGCCAGTACGGGTACGCCCCCGGATAGTTGGTGGTGATGGAAAAGGCAATGTCGCCGTTGAGCAAGAGGTAGAACGAGCCAATGATCGCCGAGAGCGGCAAGGTCGCCAAAATCGCGCCAATCGTAGGCGGCGGCGCAATCAGCGAGAGGTAACTCAGGTAGTAGAGCTTGGGCGGGTCTCGAATGCGTGTCATGAGCCTACACAGTATAGCAACGTGACGCGACGACAGAAGACAGTGGTGTACCGATTGATGATCCACGCTATGGCACAGCCGACCCACGCGACCAGCCCCATGACGTTGAAGAGCGTTATGTACATCGACGGCTCGAACGCAAAGTTGATGAGGAGCTCGAGGTACCCGAGCGGGCGGTACTCGACGTGTAGCGCATAGTCGGTCCGCGTCGCGTCCAAATCAAACTTGTCGTAGATGAGCTTGACGAAAATGAGTCGCTTGAGCTGGAGCGTCACTTGGTAGTAGGCAATCTCAAGCGTCAGTTTGCGCGGAAAACACTGGATCGTGCAGCCGCCTTCGATCACGTCGGCCGCCGTCCGATCGACGAGGACCGGGACAAAGACGTCGCTGTTGCCCGCTGCCAGCAGTGTCTTGTAGAGCTGGCTGCCCGTCGAGTACGCTTGGTACGTGACCGGTTCGTTGACCATCTCGAAAAGCGACGTGAGCGTGCTGGCTTCAAACCAGCGGGGGTTCACCGCAACCGTGCGCAGATCTTCCTCATACTGGCAGGCGACGTCCCGGTAGCAGTAGTCGGCCGTCGGGTCTTGCAAAATGTCGGTCGGCCCCACAACAACAACGTCGTCTTGGTTGAGCAGTGGCGGCAGAGCACGCCGGGTCCACGACGCCGGCTGCTCGGTGAGCGCGGGGAGTTGACAGTGCGCGTCGCTCTCGAGCAAGTCAAAGATCGTCATGTACCGGCCGTACCCGCGGCAGTGTGAAAAGTATGGCAAGTACGGTAGCATCACCTAGTCCATATGTGACTTCAACCGCGACTTGGAAGAGAACCGGCGTACGTTGGTCATGTCATACGATGCATTGTCGGGCGAGAGGCCCTGGAACGTCTCGCGGTACTTGGCCACCATATCGGCCGTCTTTGCCAGTGTCGAGAACGGTGACGTCCAGTACGCGTCGGCCGTCACCCCTGGCACTGGCGTGTCGAGCAAGTTCATTTGCGGACTCTTCTCGCTGACAACGTTGGTCTGAAGCACGCGGCCACGCTCGAGCTGGCTAAAGCGCGGCGGGAGGTTCATTGGGTACGGCACGTTCAAGCCAATCGCGCGTCGGTAGACAGCCAAGAAGGCGTAATCACGCGGCACGAGCTCCTCCTCAAACGAGATGACAGGCGAGAGCGGGCGGCTGTCGGCGACAATACCCGCCGTGTTGAAGGCACGACGAGGCGACCGAATCTCGACCGACGTCGAGTTGAGAAACAAATCGGCGGCCGACGCGAAGAGACCGTACGTGATGTGGATCTCGGGCTTGACAATCATGTCTTCGAGCGCCAAAAACGTGAGGTTGAGCACGTCGTGCTGCTGAAACGCCGTCGACGTCAACGACGACGGCAGTAGTAGCGGCTGCAAGCACGGCGACGTCTCGGTCGCTGCCCCCAGCGGAAGCTGGATGCGCTTGGCATTGCAAGCCGCATTGTTGCACAGACTCGGCGCGACGTAAACGGCGATCTTAAAGTGCTCGTCGTACACCATGTCGACGGGGATGTGCCGCAAGTCAAAGGACATGTGTATTTCCGAGAGACCGCGCAGCGCAAACCACCCGAGCTCCGGCGGATACGGCCCTTCTTCGGCCGCCGAATACCCGCACCGACTCGCGGCAGGTGGCGACGCCGAGTACGTGACGTTGGCACCCGTCGCCGAGATGTGCACGCCATAGTTGGACACGTGGACTTTGGCTGCGACGGCCGCCGCGCCGTTGAGCGTCATGGGCGGCGCGCGGCACTGAACGCGGCTTCCGTTGACGTACGTTGCCGGCACGGAGAGGAAGACGATCGAGTCGACGAGCCGAAACTCGCACGTGAGCTCATTCGTGTCGAGGAAATTCCGCCCGATGACAGTGAGAAGCTCGCCGCCGGTCGCCGAGAGCTGGTGCGGGCATGCGCGCATGACGTCGATCGTACCGTTGTGCCATCCCGGTGCACTGGCCGACGCGTTCACGGGCAGCACTTTGGTGACGACCTCGACTTCGCCCGTCGGATTGGACGTCGCCCACGAATTGAAGATCTTGGTGTCGCCCTGGAACGTGTAGGTGAACTGCGGGTAGTACGACTTGGTCGGGTCCTTGTCGCAGACGCTGATTTCAGTGATGCTGCAGTCGATCTGCGCGTCCGAGCCTGGCAGCGACGTCGTGCGCGACGGGCACTGGCACTCTTTGGCGTCCCCATCGGCCGTGCCCCGGGGACAAAACGCGCCGACGGGGCACATGTACCGCGTGCTCTCCGTGTCTTTCGTACCCCGAAGACACGTGCTGCCCGGCGGACAGAGATGGTCAAATGCCGTTGCGAGCGTCGTCTCGGCACCGCAAACGTACCCCGCGGGGCATTCGTGCATGTACTGCATCTCGAGGGTCGTCGCTTCGCCGCACACGTACCCGGACGGACAAATGATACTCTGCGTCAGGTTGTTCATGCCTACATGCAGCCATGAGACAAATAGGAGTCGTTGATTGTACCTTGGACGCCGCAGACGCGCCCGGCAGGGCACGGTTCGCAGTACGAAATGTCGGCAACACCCGACTTCGGAGACCACGTGCCGGCGGGGCACAGGCGGCACGTGATCGAGTCAGCGATCGACCGGTACGTGCCTTGCGGGCAAAGCGTCGGCATGTAGTTGCCATACCCGGGGCATGTATACCCGGCGGGGCACACTTGGCAGTCGGTGCTCGAGGCAAAGACGGCAAACGTGCCGGGAAAGCAAAGCATCGGCGCGATCGCACCGTCGTCGCCCGAGAAGGTACCTTGAGGCGTAACGACGGGAAAGGTCGACCCTGGCGGACAGTAGTGGCCAGGATAGCACAAGGTCGCTTCCGTCGTGCCTTCGAGGCAGAAGGCGCCTTCCGTGCACGTTTGACGCGCAGTCGCGCCGGCAGGTACGTTGGGCAGCCAATCAATCGTGAGCGGTGCTTCGATTCCCGCCAGACAAAACGTGCCCGTCGCACACGGGTAGGGCCGGAGAGGCGAGAGCTCGGATGGATCGAGCGTCCACGTGCCTTCGTTGCAGTAAAAGCCGGCGGGGCACAGCTGCACCGGGTGGGACAACCCGACGGCCGAGCACACAAAGCCGGCTGGACACAGTGTTGGCGCTGTATTGTTCCAGCCAGGACAGATCGAACCAATTGGACAGAGCACACACGTTGGCTGACCCGTCGCTGGCTGATAGGTACCGGGGTAGCACGCGATGGGCTTGGTGTTGCCGACACCCGGGCAGTACATGCCGCACGGGCAAAGCAGCGCATCCGTTGGATTGGGGCAAAAGTAGCCTGTCGGACACGGTCCCATGCCTTCGGGCGTATAACTGCCGCGGGGACAAAAGAAGCCAGCGTAGCATGCCTGCGGCGTGCTAAAGTTGTTTGCGAGTGGCGACAGCGTCGTCGCGCCCTTGAGACAGTACGTCCCGAGAGGACACACGTACGGCTTCTCGGGCACGAGAGCGCTGCTGCTGGCGACACAGTTGCGTACAAGACATGCCGGGTCCAATAGCATTGGCGGATGGTCGGTCGCCGGGCACCGGTTGCCGGCACCACGCGCGCCACGATCGGCCACGTCATCGTACTGTCGTTGAAGACGAGCAGCCCCGTCTCGTTGTTCCACACATAGTTGCTGCTCGCCTCCCACTCGCGCACGTTCAACGTCTTGGTCCCGCGACTGCAGTAGTGCCCTTGGTTGCACAACGTCGTCGGCGTCGAGAGCTCTTCACGGTCGCAAATATACCCCGCGGGACACAGCACAGGGTGCGAGAGGCCAACGTCCGGGCAGAAAAGCCCACGGGGCACGGCAGACAGGCGGTTTGACCTGCGCGCGGCTGGAACGTCCCGGGAGCGCAGAGCGTAAAGTTTTGTGCGTCTGCGCCAATGTAGGTGCCATTGGGCGACGCCAGAACGTCGTGGCCCAAGCAGTAGGCCCCGTGCGGACACGAACTTCGGTACTCGAACAGAACGCCGCTATTGGAGAATGCGATACCGTCGACCGTGACGTCGATCGCCACCGTGGTGGCCGGCGCCAATAAGTTGCCGACGCGGGACGGCGCCACGCAGATGAGCAGCTCGGGCGAGACATACGTGGCGTTGGCAAACAGGTCGCCAAAGCGGCAGCCGAGCGTCGAGACGTTCTGAAAATGCTGGCCCTGCACAAAGACCGGCGTTTGACCCGGAAGGAGCGTGAACGTCGGTCGGACCCGGGCGACACGAACATCTGGCACGAACGAAAACGCCACCGGCAACGCAAACTCGATGCCGTTGGTCGTGACACCGAGGTCGACGCGGCCAATCGGGTGCGGCGGCAACAAGCACTGCACAGTCGTCGCGTTGACGTAGATCGCAGGTACCATCGTTGAGTCCACTTGACAGCTGAGCTCGATTGTCGGGCGAAAGTTTGTGCCATATACATGCACGAGCGTCGTGTTGGTTAACGACGGTGCCGACGCCGGTGCGACACTAATGACCGTTACCGTTGCTACAATCGTCACGGTCGTCGTCGGCGGCGACGCATCGAGACCGTTCAAGATGCTGAGCTGCAATATCGCCTGTCCGAGTGCGAGCGACGGCGGTACGGCACACTGAAGCAGCGTGCTCGAGTGCACGGTCGCCGGCACCACGACGAGTCGGTTCCACACACACGACACCGGGTACGGTCTAAAGTGGTGGCCTCGCAACGTGACAGACCCCGTGCCGGCTTGCGACACGATGTGCGGCCACAACGACGTTACGACTGGCGTCGGGGCGTACGTGAAAAAGCTGCCGTGGGACGTGAACGACGCATTGTTGTTGGACGTGTGGACGATGACGACGTCGCGGCCGTTGCTCAACGAGACGGTCGTCGGGTCGGGAGCGACGCATGTCACTTCTGTCGGCGACACAAACTCGGCGGGAACCACGGCGAGGCCAAACCGGCACACGAGCAGAGGCGACTTGCTAAAATGGTTGCCAACTACACGAATGCGCGTACCGACGTTGCCAAACACGGGTGAGATCTCTCGCTGCACCGCATCATTGGCGACGATCACATGCCGCCCCGATATGGAGGCGAGCACTCCGTCGTTCGATACCTCGACAAGCAGTCGCATCGGGACGTGCCGGGGAGATATGCACACGAGCGACGACGGCGACCGGTACGACGCCGGCACGACAACAGTACCAAACACGCACTGCAGCGTCGGGACGTTTTGGAACCGAGACCCGACGACGGTGACCACAGTGCCGCCGCTGGATGACACGGTCGGTGGGAAGAGCGATGCGATAGCGGGTCGGTCGGTACGCACTGCGGGCTCGACAAACACAGGCAGCGGCGGTGGCACCGGCACCGATGCATAAGTTACATTCCACGGTGTTGTCAATGTCGCAAACGACGACTGCAGCGACACGGTGTATGTGCCTGGCGATGGTTGAGGCGGCGCGACGCAGCGCAGACGGGTCGATGTCGCGTAGGCGGGCACAACGGCGCTGCCGATCTGGCAATGCGAGACTGACTCCAAGTGTTCGCCGTAGAGCGTCAAGTCGCTGCCACCGTTAACGAATGCCGTCGCCACCGGCATGGCCGTCACCACTGGCGTCGGTAGAATCTCAAACATGAACGGATCCACGGATGCCGGCGCAGACGCTGTCGACGAGATGGCAAACGCCAACGACGTCGGCGATGCCAGCGGACTCGCACACACCATTGTTGATGCCGTCACTTTTGAGGCTTGAACGGCTGTCGCGCCAAACCAACACGTCGCGTTGGAGGAGACGAGAACGTTTTGCGTTGACACTGTGACAACGGTGCCACCGACGCTCCACGCTCGCCCTGGCGTCACCGACAGAATGCGCTCCAACGCCACGTACGTAAACGCAACCACTGTTTTCGGCGCGTGGTTGGCCAGACCCACCGCGAGGCGCACGGTGCGTGACGTGTACCGGTCGTTTGTCGCCGGCGCGTCGCACGTCGCAAGCGTTGGCGATACAAAGGTCGCCAGCACAGCAGTTGCATCGAACGTGCATTGCAGCTGCATCGCCGAGAAGAAGCTGGTGCCTGTGATGCGCACCGTCGTCGACCCGGTGGTTTCACCCGTTGTCGGTACCACGGACGTCACGTACACCGGTGCGCGAAAGGTAAAGTTGCGGCGCCACACGACATCGATGCCGTTGTTCGTGAGCCCGACGGCCACGGTGCCTGGCACATGCACCGGCGTCCGGCACGTAGCAAACGAAGTGTTTTCAAACGTTGCGGGGACAAATGATGCGTTGAAGACGCAAGCTAGCGCACTCGACGGGTGGAACTTGGCGCCGCGGAACGCAACAATGGTGCCACCGCTGTTGTCTGCCTCACGCGGCTCCACGTCGTGGAGCTGGAGTGGTGGCAGTGCCGTAAAGACACCCGGAAGCTGCGTCACCGTTGTGCCAAAATGATGTACATCGACGCGCAGCGACGTGGGCGATACGACACGCGGAATGTTCGGCGAGACGCACGACGCCTCGGTCGGCGACACAAAGATAGCAGGTGTCGTTTGGCGCCACCCGCTGTCGTCACTGAAAGCGCACTCCATAGTCCGCGACTGATTAAAGCCTATGCCGTAAAGACGCAGACGTCCTCCGCCGTCGCTCGACCCGAACGGCGGCACGATGGACCACACTTCAGTCGGGGCAAAGTACGGTAGCGAGAGCACATTGGACCGTCCACTGGGCGTGAGAACATACAGCGTTGCTACGCTCGCAGTGGCACGAGGCGGCTCGATGCACGTCACCGTCGTCAACGATAGAACTGTGCCTGGGACAGACGCTCGCCCGTCGTCAAAAATGCACGTCGCCGGCCCGTCCAGTGATGTCCCGACGATCGACACGACGTCGCCACCGAGCGGACTCATCGCGGTGCGATTCAAGAGGGCACTCAGCACCGGTAGCGCTTGATAGGCAAATGTAACAGACGACAGAGACAGACCACCGCTGCTCAACGTGACGTTGACGGTACCGGCAGCGTGCGCCGGCGCCACGCACGTGACACACGACGCGTTGACATACACGGCTGGCACCGTCGTTGCGTCGAAACGGCACGCCAGCGTCGTTGAAAAGATAATGTGGCGCCCGAGGACCGAGACGGTGGTACCGCCGGTGGTGGCGCCGAACGATGGCACGATCGAGTCGATAAGCGCCGCGTGCGTAAACTCGAAGGTCAAGGTGGCTGGCAACGCCATCAAGGTGTCAGATTCATCGAGGAGCCCGACCGGCACCACGCCCGTCGCGTGGGCAGGCGTGACGCACTGCAGCTCTATTGGCGAGATAAACACGGCCGGGACCACGACCGAGCCAAACGTGCACGCCAGCTGCTTGGCTTGTCGAAAGACGTGGCCCAAGAGGCGGATGCGGGTGCCCCCAAGCGCCGACCCAGTGCGTGGCCGCAGCGATCGCACGTGGTATGCATCCAGTACCTCGAACGTCACGCCGCTCGCTGAGTAGTCGACACCGTTGTTGAGCGACACTTCGACCTGCAAGGCTCGCTGCAAAGTCCCATCGACGACTGTCAAGGGCACATCTGGCACGACACACTCGAGTCGCGTCGACGAGTGCACATGGGCAAGGACAAGTGCTTGCTTTCCAAAGCGACAGTAGACGTTGTGGTTGCCTCGGTCGACAAAACCCGACCCACGAACGACGATACGAGACGCCACTTGGCCACGCGGTGGCTCGACGGCCATCACCGACGGCACCACGAGGTACTCGTAGCTCACACTGGCCATGACGTAGCCAGCGTTATTGCTCGAGAGTTCGACGGTGACGACACCGCGCGGATGTGGCGGCGCGATGCAAGCCACCATCGTCGCGTTGATCTTGCGGGCGGGCGTGACAATGCGGTCGATGCGGCAGAGCGAGGCCTGGCCAACGTTGGCGCCTCGAAGGTAAAGGGTTGTGCCGCCCGAGATGGGACCGTTGCTTGGCGAGATCGTCGTCGCATTCAATGGCGGATCCAACGGCAAGATGGTCACCAGGACGAAGTCGTGGTTGTTGTTGGCGACCTCGAGAACGACGATCGACGTCGACGTCATCGCCGGCACTGCACAGCGCGCGTGGTTCTCCGAAATGAAAAACGCCGGTGCGGTCGTCGCATGGTTGATACGGCAGACGATGGACGGATGCAAAAATACACCATGCACGTCGACCAACATCGCGACGCCCGCAATACCGCGGGCGGGAAACGTCGAAAGCACTTGCATCGGGTACACATAGTTGTAGCCGTTTGGAAACGACGCCAGCCGCATGCCATCGGCGCTTGTGCAGAGAGAGATGGTGACGGTCTCGGGCGATGTCACCGGTGGCGCTGCACACGACACTGTTTGATGCACTACATCGATCGTAGCCGGGACCAGCACGTCGCCGGTGCTCAGCTCAAACACACATTGCAGGTGCCACGACGCGTGAAGTCCGGCACCTGAGAGAACGACTGAGGTGTTGCCACCAAGCGGTCCATTCGGCGGTGTTACGTCGAGAATGCGGACGTCGCCGATGTACTCGATCGTCATATTGAGCCAGTTGACGAGCGTGCCGGCAAAGACAACGCCGACAGATACGTTACTTGGCACGGGCAATGGCGGTGCCGTACATTCGACTTCATTGACCGACACCAAGCGCGCCGGCATACGTTGCGTCGTACCAAATTGACATGCGAGATCGGGCGTCGCGAAAAAGCGGCGACCTTGAAGCCGCACGACGGCCCCGCCGTCGAGAAGCGACACAGATGGCTGCACGCCGACGCCTTCGGGTGGCAAGTAGACGGTGAGCACCACACGATTGTCTGTGTACGTCTGCCCGTGGAGCTCGAGCCCAATGTCGAGAACGCTGGCGACTGTCACTCGTGGCGAGAGACAGCCAAACGCGCGGGCACCAAGTGTACGCGCGGGGGCGCGCCACGTCCGGTTCGTCACCGCCTGGTAGAACACGCAAGAGAGCTCAACGTCCAGCGCATCGTAGAGCACGTGCATCGTGATTGGAACAGGGCTATTTGCTGGCACGTAGGACGGCACGACAGAGCGTAGCGTGTTGCCAAAAATCACGTCCGTGGACCATCCTGTCCAGATGTGGTGTTGGTCGCTGAGCACCAAGTCGACCGTTGCGACGCCGGCGTTCGGCAGCGTCGGTACTGAGCAGTTGACCGTCAATGTCGTCCGCGTGGTCGCTACAACGAGCCCCTTGGATGCAACCTCGCGATCAAAGAGGCAGTCAATATCTTGCTCTTGAAGCACCGTCGGCACCGACGTTGTCAGCGTCAGCGACACGGTAGCATTCGGGTGCATGGCAACCATCGATGGCCATAGAGCCGTGACCAGAGGCGCCTCCAGGTACTCAAACAAGAGCTGCGGGGCTAAGACAAAGTTGGGGTGCAGCTCTGTTGTGAGAGTCACCGTCACCGTCGTCGGCAGTGCGCCTTGTGGTGGTAGCGTACACACAAGGAACGACGCGTTCAAGACCATTGCAGGCACAAACACCCGAGCGTCGAGCCAGCACCCGAGCGCGGGGTAGAAACCGACGCCCGACATCGATACGATGGTGCCACCCGTTGCCAAGCCTGCCGTCGGTGTCGCCGCTTCAATCGCAACGTCGCCGGCGACGTGCATCGTTCGACTTGTCGATGCTAGCGGAATGTACTCGGAGCCGTTGACGCCGAGTGTGAATGGCACGGCGCCAAGGAGTGCTGGGATTGGGCACTGCAATAGCACCGAGGAAACGTACGTAGCATTGGTCGTCGAGGCACCAAATACGCAGACACAATGGACGCCTTGGAGCGATGAATCGCAGACACCGAGACCGGCGCCGTGCACCGACATCGTGATCGACGGCGCGTTCATAGGGACAAATGCCGGCTCGACATAGTCGACAAACACGGCCTGTGCCGTCAGGTCCAGCGCCAGTGCGCTCGGCTTAAAGTCCACACCGTTCACGGATACAAACAGGCGGGCGGACGACGCCGGCGCACCGACAACACAACCAAACGTATGGATACCAGTCGACACGGCCAGACATTGCATGTCTGATGCTTTCAGCCAGAGGCGTTGGACACTGGTGGGCGACGTCGTCACGGCAATATGCCACTGCTCCATGGCATCGAGGCTGTGCTGTACCGATAGCAGCGTCGGTACTGCCAGGTATGCATACGACAAGTTGGTGGCGAACGTTTGGTGGTTCACGACGAGCGTCACGGACACGACACCCGAGTTCGCCTGCGGTGGCGTCTTGCAAAGGACGTGACGTGTCACTTGATCGTAGCTGCCGGCGTGCCACTGCGATCCAAAAATGCATGTAATGTTGAGCGCTTGTGCCAACCCACGCGTCTGCACGCGGACGATGGTACCGCCCGCCATCGGTCCCTCGCTCGGGGCGAGCGACGGAAACGCGAGCGGTGGCAGTGTTTCAAACACCAGTCGCGGGCCTGGCATCGCGTTCGAGCTGTCCCAGAACACGGTCACCGGTGTTGGTCCCAGTGGTAGGCGCGGAATACTACACTTGAGCTCTGATGTCGATACCACCGACGCGACCGTCGTCGTAAATACGCCAAACCGGCACTGGTACGACGTGATCGCAGAGCTAAAGTTGCCGTACAACGAGAGCGTGCTGGAGCTATCGATGATAGCGAGTGCTGTCGGGTGAATGGAAGATATTGCCATCGGCGCAATGTACTGAAAGTGCCATGGTGCGCTCGGCACTGGTTCGTCACCCACCGATAACGTTACGTTGACAATGCCAGAGCCCGACGGCGCCACGCAAGACACGTTGTTGGCCGAGCTAATGGCAGGTACCAACAAGCCACCGACGCGGCAGCTCGTCACGGGCGCGAGATGCAAGCCTCCCACGATGATGTTCGTCCCTCTCCAGCCAAAGAGAGTGCGTGAGGTCGCAAGAGCCGGCGCAGGCGCCACTGCGATCGTCTTTTCGTAGTAGATGTGGTCGTGGCCGACGACTCGCAGCGTGATGTTGCCTGGGACTAGTGCTGGCGCGTGGCATGCGAGGAGCTGCGACGAGAGATGTACCGCGGCGACACGAACCGCACCAAAGAAGCACTCCCAGCGCAGAGCAAAGCCGAGCCCTGCACCGTGCACGTGCACCCACAACTGGAACGAGGCGACCCAAGCCGAGCTTGGCTGGACTGTAAACACCACCGGAGGCGACGTGAACGTAAAGGTGAGCGCTGTCTCAATGACGGCCGAGCCAAAGGCGAGCGAGAGCGGTACTGTGGGCTGCAGCGAAGTACGTGGCGCCCGACACAGCACACGCTCTGGCGACACGACAATACCGGGGGCGACGACAGGGCCGAAGAAGCATTGCACCGGGATACCGGAGGGAAAGTCACGACCATGGATGGTCACCGTGTAGTTGCCTCCGAGGGGGCCCGTCGTTGGCTCTAGCTGCCACTGCGTCGTGTTCCACTCTGGTAGCACTGTCATTGCCACCATGTTCGAGTACACGACACCGTCGATGGCAACGCCAAGCTGGGCAACGGAGGCCGGTGGCAGCGAAGGCAGCTCACAGAGAACACGACGACTCGTCATGTTTGTAGCAGCTACGGTATGCACCACCTTGTCGGTCACTTGAATCACGCACATGAGCGGGACGGATTCGTTGGGAAAGGCCCAGCCGGAGACCACGACAGTGGTCGGTGTCGTTGCCGCAACGACCGTCGGTTCAATATGGACAATCGCGGGTTCTTGAACATACATGATGGAAAAGAGACCTTTGGACGAGACGGGCACGTCGACGTCGAGGTACAGTGCCGCAGAAAGAACACCCGAGGGCTGCGCCGGCGCCACGCAGGACACGCAGGACGCGTTGAGGACAGAGACTGCCGTCGCGGCAGCGCCAAAGACGCAATGCATTCGTGGGCCGTAAGGCAATGACGGCGCCCCGCAAAACGTCACGCTCGTCGACCCATCGAAGTTGGCAACCACCGGCGTCATCACGATGCGCCGAGGGGCCGACACCACATGAAGCTCAAAGGCGGTATCGGCAAAGAAGGGCACCAGCGAGACGTTGTATATACCGGGCTGGGCCACGAACACGCTGCAGGAGATGCGATCTTTCGTGTCGAGGATCGCGTTCGCGTACACCTCGACGGGCCCTCGAAGTCGACACTGCATGCGGGGTCCCCTCGGTCCCGCCAGCATCTCCATCGTAGCCAATAGAGCGCCGTGAAAGGCAAGCAACGATGTCTGGTTGGCCACTTGCATCGTTGGCGTCATGGTCGTCACGACGGCCGTGCTCGTCGTGGCGGTGACGACAACGTCCGCGATGGGTTGAAATTGAAAGCCACCGGTGGTAGACAAGGCCATCGCATACGACCCTGACGTCGTTGGTACGGGGCAATGTGCAAAGGCGTCCGACAGCACGGTGCATGACATGCTGGACGATGTGCCATACATCACTAGCAGCGTCGGACCGAGGTGGCTACCCGATAGTTTGACCAAGGACCCGATTGGCACGACTTGTGGCGTGACATCGTGCACTACTGGCGGTGCCACGACGGTCCAAGAGTGTCCCACCAAAAAAGTTCCCGATGACGTCTCAATCGCCAAAGAAACTGGGCCCGGCGCGGAAAGCACGGGTACTTGACACTGCGCCGTGTCACTCGAGCTGGCAACGACGGGCGTTGACGTGGTGCTGTTAAAGATGCAGAAGACAGGCGACGCGGTTGCGAGACGCACGCCTCGAATCGAGAGCACACTGCCAGCGTAATTGACGTACGAGGAAGTCATGTTGGGGGAAACCGAGAGGATCGAGGCCGGAAGAGACCGGTTCACGCTCACGGAGTGCACTGGTCGGTCGTTGCAATATAGTGTCACTGTCACCATCGGCGACATCATCATGGACGGCAACACACATTGCACCGACGTCGCATCGACACTGATCGCCGGTACAAGGTCGGTGCCGTTGACGGCGCATGAGAGTGGCACCACTGCACTGTACTGCCCATAGATCGTCACGAAACGATTGTCCACGGTGACCATCGAATCGCTGACGACGACGCGTCGGCACGGATCGGGCATGAGAACCACCTTCGTCGGCAATTGTGCGCCGTTGTACCACAATGTCATGGCGCTCGGTGCATCGATACCGGCGCTCGGACAGAGCAAGACGCTGGGACGGCTGTACGTGGCGACCACGAGCGTCGTCTTGGATGTCGTTGGCGAAGCAATGGCGCACTGGTACGCACGCACCGTCGCATTGTCATCCAAGGCGATCGTCCACCCTCTTGTTCCGGACGGCAACGCATTCACTTGCGTTGGGAAGGCGAGGTACTCGAAGTCAAGCACGGTGGAGGAACGTTCTTGGTCGTTCCAGGTCACGCCAACACGGACCTTTGCTTCGTACAAGCGTGGCGGTGCCGTGCACTGTAGCGCCGAGCTGTTGAGAACGCGCGCGTGAACGACAGCGGCGTCAAAGTGACAGCGCCAGCTCGTCGACGGCACAAAGTTGGTGCCGCGAACTACGACATCTTGGTACTGCGCCACAAGACCAAAAGTCGGCACAATCGAATGCAGATGCACACGTGCGAGGTACACAATTGGTCGTGTCGCACTCGACGAAGCAAAGGCGTCAAAACTAACGTCGACCAACACGACACCGGGCGCATGGGGCGGGGCCGCGCAGACAAACGACCCATCGGGTCGTCGACGACCGGGCACGACATGGCCATCGATGCGACACGACAGTTGCGGTGGCGCTGGGGTGGCGACTGCGTGGAGCAAGGCGCCACCAGCTTCGCTGATCACATTCGGGCCAATCTGGAACAATGCGATGGGTTGTAGCAACGTGACGCTGAAGCTTGCTACCCTCTCGTGGTTCTTGGAGAGCCAAAGCACCTGGGGTCCCAGCCGATGGCCTAAGGATACATTGGAGCAGACACCGGTGCGGTTGCTCAGAACGACAAGTGGCACGTCCTTTGGACAAACAAGTCCATACATCGATATGTCCTCGTCAAATGTCAAGATCATGGACACTGGCTGCGTGGCAGACGACGAAACAAACGCCGGGCGCGTCGCAACGACAGAGACGCGGGGAAGGATAGGCAACGCCATAGGCGACGGGACCACCCGCCCTTCGTAGAGAAGCGACACGGCGACCGTCGTCGCCATTTCAAATACCGGTGCAACACACAGCACAGCGGACGGGCTGAGCACTTGCGCTGGCGAAAGGGCACCTTGAAAGCTGCAGACGAGCGTCGATGCGCGCAGCGCCATCGGGAAACGCCCCTCGAGTCGCACGGCCGTCCGGTGCCCAACGACGCCGTCGCGGGGTGTCATACCGTGGACTCGGGCATCCGGTGCGTACGAAAACGGGACGGAATTTGAAAAGGTCAAGCGATTGCTCGTCAGCATGAGCGCAACGCTTGATGGACCAGGGCTCCATCGCACGGCGCAGGACACTGCCGTTGCATTGAGTACTGTCGCGGCAACGTAGATGCCTTGATAGTAACACTCCACCGGGTCCTGTAGCCGAAACGGCCCACCGAGGAGCGTGAGGACTTCAATCACTGTAAAGCCGACCGCCGGCACGACGGCGCGCAGCGTCATGGGTTGTACAACCGCGAGGGGCACCGACGACGACACATCGATGCCATTCCATAGCACATACAGGTCGTATGCGCCGGCGATTGCCACAGCGGGGATGTGGCATACAACCGTCGACGAGTTGATGTACGCAGCAGGCATCGTCGATAGCGGCTGTGTCCCGAGAGCGCACGCCACGCTGGACAATTGGTTCACGGGAAAAGCGTCGCCTTGTATCTGCACCGAGCTCGGAACACCCACGGTCACTGGACGCAAAGATTGAAAGCTCGCGATGTGTGGGACGTCGTAGTACGTGTAGCGCCAGCCGCCTTGGACAAGTTGGTCGCTCCAGGTGATTGAGAGCGATATGGTCTGTGGCGCCGAAACCGCTGGCGCCAAACAACTCAGCGTCATATCGTCGACGACCGTCGCAGCGACCGCCAGCTCGCCGAACCGACATTTCCAAAAGACAGCCGATAGAGTTTGGAAACCGACGCCGCGGACGACCACCGGTGTCGACCCACGCACGTCACCACCGGTCGGGCTCGCCACGTCGACGCTCGGTGCCGACGCGACGACAAAGCTCAGCTGACTCGCCGACAAGAGCGTACCATCGATGCTCGTTAATGCGACGCTGTACTTGTCAGGTACAAGCTGTGGCGGGATGGGGCAGTCGAGTGCCGTTGTCGAGTACGCCACGGCCGCCACGATGATGCTACTGCCGGTGCCGGCGGCGCGAAACGCGCAGCTAAACGCTTGCAGAGAAAACCCGAAGACGCGGACCATCGCATCGGGCAGGAGCGGGTACAACGCTAGTGTCGGCGCCAAGTGCGACAAGAGCATCGACGGTGCGACGTCGAACGAGAGCGGCGAGCTCCAGTCGTGGGTGTTCCAAGACAACGCGAGCTCGAAACGTCCGTGGCGGCTTGGCAGGACTGTGAATGGACACGACACGATCCTTGTGGTTTCGACCGAGCCGGTGACCGTCACGGCGGCCGATCCCGCGTGGTACCTGCAAACCACCGTGTCCACGAGGCTCACGTCAACGACTTGCACCCGGACGGGACCCGAAAACGACCAGGGCACAACCGTGGGTGATGCGAGGCTTGTCAGGACGGGCGGGTCCTTGTATGTGTAGTAGCGCGCGGCGCTCACAAGGACACCGTTCAATGCCACAGCAACGGCCACCGTGGTCGGCGACGCAGCGATGGGTGCAGCGCACGCTAAATACGTGGCGTTCTGAGACGTCGGAACGACCGTACGATGGCCAAAGAGGCATGTGGCGTTGGGTGGGAACGCGCTGCCACGTAGCTCGATCGTCGTTCCGCCTTGTAGTGCGCCGTTTACGGGGGCGAGTCCGGAGAGCGTTGGCGCCGGTAGCACGCTATACACTGTCTTATTTGGGCTTGCGACACGTTCGCCGCTGAACCATAGTTGCAGCTCATAGTCGCCAAGCGACATTTGCAGCGGGACGGGACAGTCGACAAGGGTCGTCGCCTGCCAGCGTCCAGTCGAGAAGTAGCGTTCGTTAAAGAAGCAGACGTAGTCACAAGCGTCCACAAACCCAGTGCCCGACACATGAAGCACTGACGTTACTCCGGCTTGGACGCCGACGACGGGGTTGACGGATGTCATCAATGGCGGTGGGACGAGCCAATAGAAGAGCGCGTTCGAGATGAGCCCACCGGAAGCTACAGAAATCTGATGGCTCGTTGCCAATGCCGTCGTCGGGACTATGCACGTGCCCGTCGTGGTGTTGAGCAGCGTGAGTGGAAGCGAGAGGGTAGCATCCACGTCACACGTGTACACCGTCGCGAGGTTGAACGTCGAGTGCAGTGTGACAACCCCCGCGCTTCCGTACGGCGCGACGCGCGGATGCAGCGCGGTCAGCGCTAATGTTGACGACATAATGTCCACCGGCGCCGAGAACTCGCGGCCGTTGTTCGAGACGGCGACGGTCGCCACGGACTCGAACGGTCGAGGACATACAATATGCGTGCGATTGAGCCCCATGCCGGGTACAAGGCGAGTCGCGTCAAAGAGGCACGTTAGCTCGTCGCTCTCGAAGTACGTGTCGAGAACGAGCACGAGGCCTGTGGCGCGGCCGGTAGCGACCACCGGCGCGACGATGGTTGGCACCGCAGCGTAGGTGTACGAGACACTCGACACAAGAGCGTCGACACCATTGAGACGTAGCGCAATCGGAACCGTGGTCGACCCTGCGTCCAGCATCGAGGGGCGATGCAAGCAATGGATGTGGGTGACATCCACTGTGCTTGCATGACCGCGGATCCAAAGATGCACTGTAGAAGTAGTGTATCGAGAAACCCGGTGCCATAGAGCGTGACCAGAGTGCCTCCTTGAGGCATGCCGTTTGTGGGCACGATAGCATGCACGTTGGGATCGGCCATGTACCGAAAGACGCGTGGGCTCGGGATGCCAGCGACTCGGACACTAGCGACGGTCGGCTGCGACGATGGGACGGGCGGTACGACACAGGAGACGACCGACGTGTTCCAGAACTGGCGAGGCACCTCGAGAACCAGCCAACCGAAATCAAATGTACAATTGCCGGGCGCAGTGGGCAGAGACGAGCCAAAGAGAAAGAGTTGTGTGCCCCCTGCGACGCTGCCACTGTGAGGGTCCATACGTGCAATCGCACCCGGGACGGTCATCGTGAAGAAGCAGGACGTTGGAACCACGGTGGTGTCATCAAGTAGAAGCGATAGACGCGCCGTCTCACCCACCGGTAGACGTGGTACAGAGCATATGCGCATCGTGCCATTTACCCAGGTAAAGGGCGCGATGACCGAGGCATTGCCGACGTCAAACTGGCACGCGGTGTGAAACGGAGACGCTCCGGTCAATTGCAACTCGAGATTGACGCCTTCCACGCCCGACGACACGGGGCATCGAGCTAGCGACGGTGGCTCGGTGACGAGAATCGGTTGTGGTGCATCGATGGTTTCTTGTCCGTTCATCGTGATGCGCAACGTCACACGTTGCGGTGTGGACAGAGGCGGTAAGACGCAGATAAGGCTGGAGCTGTTGAGCCACTGTGTTACAAGCGGTTGTGCCAGCGCAGCATCCGACATTGCCACGCACTGCAAGTGCGATCCGTCGCGAAACCCGGTGCCCACAACATGTACTGTCACAGAATGGTTGGTGGCGACAACGAGCGGCGAGATACGCGTCACGATCGGCACCGGTACAAGCTCCAAGCCAATGCTGTTGGTCGACACGAAGACGTTCTCGAGTGACGCCCAATCGAGAGAGATAGGGACGACACCGTGCTTGCGAAACGGCGGCGTTGAACAAAGGACAAGCGCCGACCCGTTGCGGATGCCTTGGGTAGTAACGTCGCCAAAGCGACACGACACATTCGCGGGCGCATCGGGAAACCCATCACCGGTCACGGAGAGAAGAGTTCCACCACGCGTCGTTGCAAAGCTCGGGATGACGGCTGTAATGCGCGGCACTGCCGCCACCGATAAGACAAGATTGGACATCAGTAGCGTCACACCGCCGTCCAAACTGATCGTGACAGACGCGTTCTGCAGCGGCGTCGACGTGTTAGGTGCTTGGCAAAGGACGCGCGACGGCGACTGAACGATCGCAGGTGTCTGGAAGGCACCGATCCAGCACACGGCGGCGCCTGGTGGTGCCAGACCGGCGCCCGTCACTGTAAACGAGCCGCCGGCGGCTACTCGCGTCGCAGAGAGTTGAAGAAGACGTGGGGCCGACCACGCAAACCCAGAACTCCATTCTTGGCCGTTCCAGCTCAGCAAGACAGATGTGATCGCTCGCAGCTGCGCGGCATCGGGAAGAGGGCAGGCCACTGTGCCTGTCGAGTGCCACGATCCGACAACCTGCGCCGTGGCATTGTTGAAACCGCAGAAAATGCTGGATGCCGGCGCGGGGTCGGGCACGACGCATTCGACAAAGATGACGTCTTGGGACGCTTGCACGGCGGTCACGAGTGGCGGCGCAACGATCGTAAACCCACCATTCGTGTGCACCGACTCGTTGGTCCACGTATCCAAGATTGAGAGTGTCGAATCCGCGGTCACGCCCCTAGATGGCTGGCACGTGATTTCAGATGTGCTGACGACCGTTGCACGCGTCGCGCCCGTAGCGAAGACGCAGTCGTAGGTCCCGTTTGCTTGAAAGCCCGAGCCATAAACGTGGAGAAGCGTCGAGACCGACCCACAGGGCGGCGACACCTCAAATACCATCAGTGGCGCGACAATCGTATAGAGCATGGACAAGACAGTCACGCCGAGCGCTTGGATGACGACCGGGATCGTAACGGGCACCGGAATTGTCGGTGGAAGCGTGGGCACCTGACACGTCATCGTCGTTGCATTGTACGCTGCCATCGGGCGCACGGTGCTCCCTGATACAAACTGGAAGATGCAGGCGTACACGCTCGCATTCACATGCAACGTCCGTTGCAAGAGCAGCCTGGTCCCCGGACGCCCGTACGGTGGCGAAATGCTCGTGACCGTCGCATTGGTGTGGTCCATATATGTCAAAGGAAACGAGCCCAAGGTGGCGTTTTGAAGCGACACCGACACCGTCTCGGTCGTTGGCCACGACGGCGCCACGCACGCGACGTCGGTCGTCGACAAGGCCACAACGATGACGCCAGGCGCGTCCCCGAAACGACACGCAAGCTCGGCCGTTGGTGGAGGTACATCCACAACGTCGATCGTAAAGCTGATCCGACGACCACCCAATGTCGGCACTACTGTAGGCGCCATCGACGTTGCGGTCCACCCGGCACTGGACTGAAATGGAAAAGTGTTGAGACTGTAGATCGCGCCGTCAAGGCTCAACGCGATCCGTGAGAGTTGCGTCGTGCTGCGTAAAGCGGTGTGGAGTGCCGGTACTGTGCACGTCACTGAGGTCGCGCCGAGCATCGTTGTCGTCGCTGATACGCCGTCAAAGAGGATGGTGGTGCCGGGCGAGATCGACGTTGCTTGCAGAGCGACGGTTGTACCAGCGGTTCCGACAACCGGCTGCAACGAAGTGATCAACGAAGGTGCAAGATACGTGAAGAACGTCGGCGCCAGTGTCGCTGGTTGCCCTTGAACAAGCAACGACACGGCCTGCGATACGATGGCGGCGACCGGCGGCGCAACGCACACGACAGTCGTAGCATTGATGAGGTGCGCGGTCGTTGCCGTGGATCCAAAGAGGCACTGGAGAGACGTCAGCGGCATTCTTGTCGACCGCAGCTGCAGTGTCACCCGAGCACCCGCAAGACCTGTCGTCGGCGTCGTGGTGAGGACGGCAAGGGGCCGGTACACGGCGCACGAAACCTCCCAGAGCGCCAGACCTTCTGCAAGCTGAATGCGTAGCGTACTCGACAGTGCGTCCGTCGATACGTTCATTGGCACTGGGCATCGAAGCGTCGATGGCGTCTGGACCGTCGCCGTCGTGACACCGATGCCCGAAAAGTTGCACAGCAGTGGCATCGTTCTGTCAACCGCGCCAAAGCCAAAACCGGTGACCGTCATGACGGCGCCCGCCCGAGCGACGACCGCAGTTGGCGTCGCATGCCAGGTTGTGTCGGTGCCGACGATGGCAACGCGATGTCCGTCCTGCGTCACGTCGACATTGTTGAATGACAACTCGAGCTGGGCCTGCACTGACGTCGTCCACGCCTCTGGCACGTTGCACTTGGTGCGATTGGCATCCAACCACGTGGCAGGCACGCGGGCAGTGACACCAGAGTCGGTTGTCCAGACACACTGCGCACCGCTGGCTTGAAAGTGACGCCCCATCACGTCCACGCCTTGATTCCTTGCGGCGGAAATCAGCACCGGCTGTAGACTAAGAATGCGCGGTGTCTCTATGCAACGTTCATCAGCTTCCGGTTTGATTTGCGTCAACGGTGGAACATACCGTACACCGTAAACAGGATGGAAGCTTCGATAGTATCGAGCTCGTCCACGACAATGGCGATGCGTACAGGACCCGCAACGTTGAAGAACGGCGTTGGACAGGAGACTGTGAGCACCGATGCTGTCAACGATGTCGTCGCCGGGATGACCCATGACGTGTTGGCACCCGCAAAGGAGCACCGCACCGGCGCAGTCGGCGGCGCCCCGACAAGACGTAATGCCGCCTGGAGGTTGGTGTTACCGCTGGCGGGGCCTTGCAGCGGCGCCATTGAGAGAAAGGACGCTGCCATAGAGGTTGACGTTGTATTCGCAGTGACGATAGAACACATACCTCGGGTGCGCGCCAAAGCCAATGTGGTCGAAACGTCTTGGCCGTTGGAAGCGACGGCGACGGTCGTCGCGTTTTCAGGCGCACGACATACAATCACCGATGCCGTTCTATAGGTCGCGGGAACGATTCGACGACCCTCAAAGATGCACGTCCAGTCCACCGACGGCGGAAAGTTCACGCCGGCCACCAGCACCGTTTTGCCGTCGTTGTGCAGCGTTGCTTCATTGGCTCTCCACGGTGCTAATTACGATCCTTGTGTCGGACAATTGCATTTGGAGGCGAGCGTACCGTCGTAGGTAAAGCGAAGAAGGTTTGACCATTGATCATAGCCATTGGTCAGAACAAATAGCGTCTCGCCAAATGCGCCGGGTGGCGAGATGCACGAGAAGACTCCGCCGTCGACGCGCAGCGGTACGCGGGTGGCGGGGCCAAACTGACAAAACCACGCCGTTGCATCGCTCAAGCCGGTGCCAACGACCGTCACCCGGACGCCGCCACCCGCTTGGCCGTGTGTGGGTGTGATCGACGACACAAGAAGTTGCGCATCTACACAGCACGCGTCAGCACCGGCGAAACGATGCACATGCTCGCACTGATTTGCGACGCATTGACCATGCTCAGCTGCAAAAACGTCACGTGTCGGACGTCAAACGCAGCGTCCGTGCTCGCTTCGACCGAGATGATCTCTGAGCCGAAGTAGGACACATCCCGACGATAGACCAATGACGCCATCGTTGCGCTCACCGATGTCGACGTGCCCGACACACGCCACGCCCGTGCCGACGATGCGACGATGGTCGCACCAGGCGCTGCCTCGAGCTGCAGCTGGCCCCACTCCGAGAAGGCGTGCAGGCGGAGGTGCAGTAGGGTCGTCGTATCCGCGTACGTGACGAGATACCCTTGCAGTTGGGCCTGCAACTGGCTCACGTCGATCGTTGGGCGATCGTTGATGGCAGTGATCGTGATGGGCCAAGCGGCCGTGGCGCCAAGCCCTGACGCCACGTTCTCCACGGCAATGTCGAGGCTCTCGGCGTGCTGGAGCGAGTTGAAGTCGTCATCAGGTGTGTAGTTGAGAACTGCGAGTGCGCGGTTGACGTCCTGGAGCGATCCCGTAAAGTGCATCATGGCGTCCTGTTGACCAGAACCCCTTGAAAACGACAAGTTGGTCGTCGAAGCGAGGGAGACGAGACCACCGGCGACACGCAGCGCAACCGCGACGGTTTGTGGGACGAGCCCGAGTACCGAGTACGAGACCTCGTCCCCGACGACGCGCAAGCCAGTGATCGTACCCGTCGCACCTTCCGACATTGCCGTTTGGCCCAGCGGCAGCGTAATTGTCGGTGCGAATGGCGTGTACTGCATCGCCAAGACCACGGTCATAGGCACAGGAAATGTCGGCTCGATCAAGTACATGGTCTGATCCTGGACCGCCAAAGTGAGCGTCGCATTGCCAAACCAGTTGGTTGGCGGTGTGTACACGACACTGGCGAGCACGCGATTGACATCCAGCAGCGGGCCCTTGAGCACGGTTGTAGTTGGTGAGAGTATCGATACCGCAACGGTCGACGGCGCGGGTGGCAGTGCGATCGCACCATAGTCGACGCTGCACGAAAAGACAATCGGGTAGTTGAACGGCCCCGTCGCCGACGTGTTGGTGTGGTCGACGATCGCAATGGCGTCCGGTGGCAGCGGCAACGCTTGGTTTTGGTGCCCCAAAACGACCGGTGCCGAGACCACGACCGTCGGTGCGTTGATCCACGAATCCATTTGCACGCGAAGCGAGAAGCTTTTGTGGCCTTCCGTGATCGCATTCATGATCGTGATAATGTCGTCGGGCTCGAGCCCGTCTTGGTACATCCATTGAAGCTTGACCGTGTGCGGCCCCGGAAACAGCTGCAGCGCCAGCGACGCCTGCGCGAGTTGATTGCCACGGGCCGCTCCCGCGACCCGGGCCGCACTGCTTCTGTACGGAATCGAGTCGACGAGGAGACGCGCGCTCACTGCGCCCGCGTCAAACTGCGAGAACGAGTTAAAGTACGGGTTGTTGAGCATTTGAATTGGGAGCAAGTACGTGAGGAGAACGGTCGTGACGGCACCAACGACGTGAAACGGGACCGCCGACCCGACGTCAAACCATTGGTTTCGCGGCGCAGATAGCACTTTCGTGTCGACTTGGTTGGATTCGATCGCTGACGGTGCTTGTGCGACCACGGCGAGAAGCCGCCCCATGAGGAAGCCGTCGCCGGTCGTGGGAAGCGACCGCCAATACCGCCCCGACGGCGACTGAAGGCGCAAGTGCAGCTGCACCGAGTACTCGCCGGCAGGTAGCGTCAGCGTGACGTCCGAGATGAGTGCATTGGGCTGGGTAAACTTGGCTTGGGTCGAGTATGTGGCGCGCGTCACGTCGTGAAGTACGTCGTTGATGGACAAGATCGTGTCAACGCGGTCGACGTCTGACCCGTCTACACACAACGCGATGATGAAACCTGATGCTTCAATTCACAGTTGTACCGCCAGTGGGGGGCATCATATCCGGCCGCAACGGCAGGTTGTACATAAAGCGCAGTGGCGTCGGCGTCGGCAGCGACAAGGAGACAGACATACCGGGGACACTGGCATAGACTGCGGTCGGCTCCATCGCGATCGAATACAGCGGCTGTGTGTACCGCAGGTACGAGTGCTGCGCCGCCGCAATGAGCGAGCACGCGCCAGAGAAGCCCGTCCCGACCGTCGGGTCGATGCGCCACGAGGTCACAAAGGTGCCAGTCTTTTTCCATTGGAGCTCGAGCGTGTGGTTGCCGGCGGCGAGCGACACGACAAGATAGCCTGCAATGAGCGAGGACGCGCCTTGGTAGTAGCCCGACGAGGCGCCCGACGCCCGCATCGGTGACCCGTCGACGCGAAGGCGGAACGAGATGAGGTCGTCGGCACCGGGCGGGCGGGTCTTGTCGATGATGGCAACGGGCGGCTGCGCCGAGGTCGGGTACACAGTCGCTGAGTACGTGACAAGTAGCGTCATGGGCAGCGCGAGAAAGGCCGGGATGCTCGCGCCGGGCACGTCGACCCAGAGCCCGGTCGTCGTGAGCGCCGTCGTCGCCGTCGTCGTCGCACTCCACATCGAGTGCAGCAGTACGTCCGGGACCGTCGCCTCAATGAGCGCTACTAGAAGGAGCAAGAGGAGCGCGCTGTAGCAGGCGCCATGGTACGCGTCCATGGCCGCGCGGTCGCAAAGTCGTTCGATCTTTCACGCGACCTTTCGACCGAGTCGCAACTGCACTTTGATTGGGCAATGCGATTATAATCGATACATTTCATCCAATCAAATACCTTTAACGACCCAAAGGATGATACCACCGACATCCCTGGGAGCTTGAACGCCTACAGTACGAGTACCTGTAGGACGCGGGACAGCAACGTGACCAAGGAGAATAATATATCCGCGAGAATGCGCTTGACCTATGTAGATGGCCAAGCGTGGGATTTTCAAGAACCAACATGACATCTTACCGAATGAAAATCACGGCAGCGACGAGCAGAGCAGGTGTGTACATGGGTAGACTACAGGTATACTAAGACGTCTAAAGTAAAATCCTACTAGTACATGAGCGCCATTCATTCATTATGGCTTGTCGGCGGATAAGGAACCGAGAATCGAGACGACGACGATGGAAGATACCGCGGCCTTTTTTCGCAACGGCCGCAGTTTCAGAGCCGCCCGATGGCCGCGATCCCGCTCGACGATGCGATCTTGCAGAAGATCTATGCGTGGATCGACGAGGTACCGCTCTCGCGGCCCAAGAAGAACATGGGCCGCGACTTTAGCGATGGCATCTTGGCGGCCGAGGTCATCGCCTACTACTTTCCGCGGCTCGTTCAAATGCACAACTACAGCGCCGCCAACTCGGTGACCCAGAAACAGTACAACTGGAACACGCTCAACAGTGCGCAGCTCTATCGTTGTCGAAGCACTCACAATGGATGCTAGCCAAGGTTCTCCGGAAGCTCGGGTTCCAGCTCAGCAAGCGCGAAATGGACGACATTGTCCAGTGCAAGCCTGGTGCCGTTGAAGAGTTCCTCAGCAAGCTCCAGATCAAGGTCGAGTCGCGCTTTAGCAAATTACGTGTCGCGAGCGAATGCATTAGATTGCCAACTATCGGCTGAAGCGCAGCAGCCAGTACGACCCCGACACGGACGGCCCCCCCGAGGCACCTAGCCCCCTCGATCGGAAGCGCTCCGAAGTCCGCGACGCCGAAGGAAAAGACCATTACCACGACGAAGCCCTTGCATCCGACAAACAACTCGTATCGCCAGTCTCGATGGACGAGTACCCGGCGAGCATTGCGGGTCTGGCAAGGTACCCTTTCCAGATATGGCAGCATCTAGTATGAGAGGCCTCAAATTCTATCTAGAGCGTTCAAGCCCGAGGGGGCGTCGGCCGAGCTCCAAGCTCAACTGCAAGAAAAGAGCAGCGTCATAGAAGAGCAAAAAGAGACGATCCAGGTGATCGTCGGCTTCTTTCGCACGCCACCTCACGCGTTTCGAAACTAGATTCTGGAGCAGAAGATCCAGAAACTGGAGCAGCTCGTGCGGCTCAAGGATGGAAAAATTCAGACGCTCGTGGCCAAATTGCGGACGCAAACCAAGTCGTAGAGTCTTTTCTTCGACGTCGATGCCTCGACCACAAAATATTTGGATCTGGATCTGGTGCCGGCGAGAGTCCAGTAAATTGTTCCAGCGTCCTAGCACCCGCAACCACATCGCAGCATTTATTGTACGTGGCGAACAAAAGTAAAATCGCGCCAAGATGTATCTGCGTTTCACTATGCCACACGCGAGATCGGGACAACGGGAAGCACGGTTGCGGCCCGTATGTACCCACTGGAGAGCACTAGACTGGAGCCTCGTAAAGTTACGATGTTGTGTGGTTGAAGCGGCGCTTCCACATCCTCTTGTCTCAAGTTGGTTACCGTGGTGGGACAGGACGCCTCTGCGGGACGACCCATACGTTGCCTTTGGCAGTAAACCTGCGCGGAAATTCGAATTCGCACGAGGACGCGCCACGTCATAAGTTCGAATATCCACGGATCGCCCGTTTCAGATAATGTTCGCCCGGACCTTGGACCACCCACTGCGCAGTTTGGATTTGCGGCTCTCATGGCATCGACCAAGCTGCACCGTCGCGTCTTGCGCAAGTCGGTCGAGCTCTACCGGCCCGAATTGCTGCCGCTGTTTCTGCTCTTTCACAAGTCGGAGACGTCGCACGAATGGGAGGTACCTTGTTTTTGCCACGCCTCTTTGACAAGATGTACATACTACGCCACGTAGATCCAGCACATGGCCGACGCGGTCAAGCTCTCGACGTTTTTGCATTCCAAGATGCTCTTGTCGCCCGAGCTCAACCGCAACTCGCCGTGCTACATTGCGCGTCGCATCGTGCAGCTGTACATCAAGCTCAAGTACATTGCGACCTTTCCCGCCCACGAGATCGACGAGTACGCGGCGATTGGCGACCAAGAGTATGACGAAGTGCGCATGATGCACCACTTGCTGCACAACAGCGGCACTGCAACCACCGAGACCGAGCACGTCTACCGGCTCGCGGCGATGCTCGGCATCTCATACCACGGCGACTCGTGGCAAGAGATTCTCACGTTTGTCCGGTGCGCGCTGCCGTTTGCCGAGCAGACGGAGACGCTCCTCATTCGCGGCTCGGACGACCGGTCGATTCTTGACAATGCAACGCAAACCAACAAGTACAACACGACGACGATTCCGTGTGCCGTGCCGCAGCACGCGTGGATCTCGCGCGCGAGCTGCACGAGCTCGAGCGTCGCCCTCGACGGCTACACGGTCTGCGAGCGCATCCGCCAAGAACTCCTCCTCTCGTCGCTCTCGATCAACAATGAAAACATCCACGAGGTCTTTGACCGCAAGATGCAGTCGGTGCGAGACCGCGTCGCCGCCTGCCTCGGGCTTAGAGCGCTCTACGACGACGGCGCCTTCGAGTGCGTCATCTCGCCGTCTGGCACAGACGCCGAGCTGCTCGCTACGTCGGTGGCCCTCGCGCGATTAGCCAGCGTTGCCTCCGAAACAACGAACGGTCGCATGACGCTCATCGTGACGGCGGGTGGCGAGACCGGAAGCGGGTCCGTCGCGGCGTCCAATGGCAAGCACTTTAGCAAGCTCTCGCCGAGTGGCGACGCAGTCGAGCCCGGCAAGCTGCTTCGCGGGTTCCCGACGGCCAAGGTCCACTGCGTGCAGATTCCGGCGCGCCAAGACGACGGGCACGTTGAGAACGCCGACGCGACCGTGCGGGCCAGCGTCATTGAAGCGCTGTCGACATCGCCGACCGCGGCCCACAACGTGGTCTTGCTGCACGTCGTCATGGGCTCCAAGACGGGGCTCTGTTGCCCGAGCTTGTCGCTCGTCGACGAGCTCTCGGCCATGTACTCGACCCGGCTCATTGTCGTCATTGATGCGTGCCAAATGCGCCTCGACAAGCTGTCGCTGGTCGAGTACATGGCACGCGGGTACCTCGTGCTCATCACAGGCTCCAAGTTCTTTGCCGGCGTCCCGTTCTGCGGCGGTGTCCTCATTCCGTCCGTCTACATTGACGAGCTCGAAGGCAGCGACGACCTCGGCAGCATCTTCCCGATCGGGTACACCGACTACTTTTCAAAGTACGAGTTTCCGCCACTGAGCATGCCCCTCACCCGCGACCGCTTCGCATCGCGCATGAACGTCGGGCTGCTTCTGCGGTGGGAGACTGCGCTCGTCAACATGGAGCTGTACGCGTCGATCCCGTCGGCCATGGTCGGGCAAATCTGCTACGAGTACATTGCCCGGTCCAAGGCCATGATGGCAACGCACGCCCACGTCTCGCTCCTCGAGCCGCCGCGCGATCTCCGCAAGCCGTCGATGGCGGCCGACGGCACCTTGCTGCAGCCCCTCGACACGATCATCTCGTTCCATGTGATTGAGCACGGTGTGTGCCTCAGTGTCGACCGCCTCAAGCTTGTGCACATGTTCCTCTCCAAAGACATTTCAAGCGTCATCACCGAGACATGCCCGCTCGAGGTCGCCCTCGCGAGTAAAAAATGCCTCGTCGGACAGCCCGTGACGCTCGGAAAGCTCGCGCACGGCGTGTTGCGCATCGCGCTCGGGGCTGACATGGTCAACCACATCTACCGCGGCACCAAGACCATGGTCGAGCTCGTCTTGGAAGATGCCATCGTCCTTCGCAAGCTCGCGCTCATCCTCAACCACTGGGACCCGCTCTGCGCCAAGTTTGTGGATGTCCCCGTGACGCACCACTTGCCGTCGACGCCACCGAAACCAGAGAGCAAGAGCATTTGGGACTTTAGCGTCAAAGCCGCGTGCCGAAGCCCAGCGTTGCGGTCGCTCTTGGCGTCCGGGCACGAACTCTTCCCGCGCATGGTCCTCTACGACCTCGATGGCGTCGATGGGGCGTTCCAGTCGCTCGTGGCGCCCTTTCCAGCGCACTTTGAGCACCGCTTCCACGTCTCGTCGTGCCCATTGGCCTTTTTCTTGCGCCGGGCGATTGAGAACGACATTGGCTTGACCTGTGCGTCGATCGTCGAGGTGCAGCACGCACTGCGCCTTGGCTGCGCGCCCCACAAGATTGCGTTTACGAGCCCTGTCAAGACGCGGCGCGAGCTCGCATACGCTATGGACATGGGCGTCGAGGTCAACGCCGACTCGTTCGAGGAGCTCGAGATCATCAAAGAGCACGCGCAGATGCGGTTCCAGAGCAGCTTCCCCGAGTGCACGCCCCGGTACGCCGGCGAGCTGCCCCGAATCGGCGTCCGCGTTCATGTCTGTCATGAAGCCGCGCACACGTGGATGGCGGGCATTTCGCTCACGAGCGACAACCGCGCCAAGCTTCTCGGCATGTTCAAGGAGCACCCGTGGCTCACAGGCCTCGTCCTCGCAACGTGCCCCAAGCGCGCGGACGGCAACAAGGCGCTTCTGCATGAGATCGCCGACGGCGCCAACCAGCTCTGCGACCTCGCCAACGACATTGACGCCGTCGCCGGCGAGACACGCGTCAAGGTCCTCAACGTCGGTGGCGACCTCGATGCGCGCTACGACGCCGACGACGTCGGCTTGACGTTTGCCGACGTCGTCGAGGTGCTGCACGCCGAGGCGCCCAAGCTCTTTGAGCGCAACGGACGTACCGTCGTGACCGAACACGGCGACTATATTAGCGCCAAGGTGGGCTGGACCGCGAGTGAGGTCGAGTACATTCGGTTTCACGGTGCCCCCGACGACCGCGCGACCCCGACGCAAACCGCCGTCATCGACGCGGGTGCCGACGTGCACACGCGGCTACCAAACGGCAGCTACAAGCACCGCGTATCGGTCTACAAGTACGACGACAATATTATGCGATGATCGTCTTATGCTTGAATACTAGGGCCAACGGACAGCTCTCGGCGGCACCCAAGGAGCTCCAATCGGCCATTTGCCTCGGAGAGCCACTGCACCACGAGTGGAGTGCGCGGGTCATGACCGTGCCTCGGCTCGAGCGCGGTGACTACGTTGCACTCCACGACACGGGTGCCAACATGACGACGATGGGCCATGGCGCCAACGGCCAGCCGGCGCCACCCGTCTTCGGTTACCGACGCCATGACGACGGCGTCCACGTCGTGCTGCTCAAGGCGGCTGAAACACCTGAGCAAGTCATGCAGCTCTGGAGCTAACTCTTCTTTCCTTGCTTCCCAGTACAGTGCATGTGTTTGAATATATATTGGTTTCGGCACGCACCCAGGATGTCCTTGCCTCGCTTGTACAAACGTGTTTCGAGTCACCGTGGTTGAGCTAACTCCTACTCCTTCACTTGCGCGGGTGGGCTTGGCTCTTTGGTAGTCGCCTGGCCTGGTGCGCTGTCGGCCGCAAGTTAAGCCCACGACGACAAGCGCCGTAAAGTCTTTCCAGGCGTCGCGATTGGCGGTGAAACGACGGACGCGGCGGCTTGTAAAATCAATAAAAACTCCGAGTTGGCTGCACCGCGTCGATGATCCACATCCGCGGTGGCAGGTGCGGTGGTATCGCGCTGTCGAAGTTGAAGTCGGTTCTGGACCCATCACAATGTTCGCACCGTCCTGGACATTTACATAGGTCGCACGCGTACTCGATGCGAGCTACATGCGTGGATTCAAGCGCTACAGACATTTCATTGCCGCATCCTTCTGCAGCAGTTAGGCGGTTGGCACCACATCACCTTGTCGTCTCGGACCCGAATCAACCGAATCTATCCGATGGCCTTTCCGCAAGAGGCAGCACGCGATACCTATTGAACGCTGGGCACCTGCTCCTGCATGTCGCGACACTCGTGTCAGACCTTAATGCCGGACAGAATGACTCGAAGGATCCCAGCCCCCTCGGTCCGCACCCAAGTCCCTTTGTGTCAACCCGTCACAATGCGATAGAAGACGACCCCACGGCGCTGCACCGATCTCAGTTTGCCATTTTTGGCGTCATGGCGCGTGCATACGCAACGCTCGTTTGCACGGACGCGTACGCTGTCGGTGCGCAAGTGCTGCGCTCGAGCCTCCTTCGTGCCGGGTCGACGCTCCCGCTTGTCGTGCTCGTCACGTCCAGCGTCTCGGCGCCCGTACGCGCGCACTTGACAAGGTCGCTCGAGAATGCACTTGTCTACGACGTGGCGGCCGTCCCGCTCCGCGCCGACCAAGTGACGCGCTATGCATTTGCGCGCTTCCAGCACGCGTGGGCCAAGCTGCGCGTGTTTGAGCTCGAGATGTTTGACACGGTCGTGTTTCTCGACGCCGACATGCTTTGTTTGCGCAACATGGACGAGCTCTTTGACGCGGTCCGGCCCGAGACGACAACCATCGCTGCGAGCCGCGCGTGCACGTGCAACCCGCAACGCATCGCCCATTATCCCACGTAGGTGTCTTCTTTTTTTTGACAAAACATGTAGGTCGTGGACGTCAGCGTCCTGCTCGTATACCGAGACGACCACCGAGGTCCGTCGGTACTTCAACTCGGGCATGTTTGTATTGCATCCCAGTAGGTTATACTCCATGGGACGTCCCGTATACTACCCATGCACTTTGTAGGCCGCGCGACGCTGCAGGCGCTGCTCGCAAAGCTGCAGGGCGAACGCAGCGTCGAGCGATTTGTGTTTTCCGACCAATGCTTCCTCAACGAAGCTTTCCCCGACTTTATCGACGTGCCATATGTGTTTAACGCGCTGAAGACCCTGCCGATCGCGCACCCGCGCCTGTGGCAACTTAAGGTCCAAACCGCGATTGAACCCTAGCCCTACTACTAGGTTGTTCTGTAGGAAGTCAAGGCGATTCACTACATTTTGGAAAAGCCGTGGCACGTCGATGGACTCGAGGATGGACCGTACGCCGACTTGTACGCGCTGTGGTGGGAGGCCGCTTCACACATGAAAGATCTTTTGGAACCTCGCTTCAACGCACCTTGATAGCGACTCGCACGCCAACATGGCGTTGTGAGCCTTTATAATTCTAGACAGACGTGTCCTTGGCCACTGAAATGATCCCAGTGTTGTGGCTCCGCGCACAGAGCGTGGTTTTGAAAATGCAGTTTTATTCCAATCAATGCATTCCACAATCACCCCGTCCCCAGGAATGCCGCAAATCAGCACGTTGAACCTCTGTCCATCGCTCAAAGCGCCATTTTCTGGACCGCGTTGATTATCCCGATGGATTATGTTGGAATAAAACAGCACTTATTTTCCAAACAAGTCATCGAAGGCGTTGGCATGCTCTGCCACTGGCTTGAACCCAGCGCCGACGACAAGAGCTTTGCCACGCTGGTGGATGACTCGGCAGGCGGCTCTCGCGCCACCATTCGTCTTACGTTGTACGGCAAGCATGCCCGCTCAGCGACACAAGATTGGGTTGGCCAGTGCCTCTTGCTTCAGCGTTTCAAAGTCAAAGATGGCGCCATCTCAGCCTCCGGCCATTGGCCGGAGGCTGAGAATGGAAATGCATGTATGGCCGGCGGCCATACATGCATTTCCATTGCTGCTTCGTTGCCCGAGGCCAAGCGTCTCCTCCACTGGTACAGCACTCAGTGAGCACATCCTCAGCCTCCTTGTACATTGTACATCGACTGCATTTAACCACAATCATGCTTATCTTTTCATTTTTCACTCTTCTCCTGCTTCACAAATGGGGTACACTTCAGTTTCACGTTCCCTCAAACAGAGGTTTCCTACCAGCCCACTCCGCAGGAACCTAGTTTTCCAAACAAATACTTGCAGGCCTCTAATAGCCACGCGCGTTGACATGCAACCTCTCTAGACCCACAGAAAGCGCCCTTGAAATTATCTCAGCGATTTGAGAAGGTTGCAAAAGTTTCGATTTCGGGTCGACAAGCCTCACTCCTGCCGTACTAGTACTAGTAGCGGTGCATGGCCAAAATGTAAGAAACATTGGAAAATACTGGGATCATTTTCAACGGCCCACTACAAGTCGCTAGTGATGGACAGAGATTCAACGTGCTGATTTGCGGCATCCCTGGGCACTGCAGTTTGTCACAAACTATCAAGACAGACAAGACGTCTTGACTTTGTCAACTTTTTTTGCTACGGACAAGGCAAGCGCACAGAGGCAGTGGCCGGTGCTCCTTCGTAATTACGTGCTCGATGCTCTCGTCCATCCTGAAGAGCCCGTTGTGGCTTACGATTCTATTAGCACGAGGGCGATGCGTAGCGTGCTTGAAATGCGAGACACGATTCCGGGTAGCCAAATGCGTTTGATTACATGTGTTTGTCGTGGGACTTAGAGCTCTCCGCTCGTCGGATCGTCGCAGCTACCGTCGTGGAGGAGCGCCAAGCCTCGGTTGGCACACTGTGCATTCTCAAAGAGGCACATGTTGTTGTACGTCTTGTTGTCCGAGCCGCAGACGGGCTTGAACATGCGGTTGCACGGGCGGTCGCGGCAATCGTCGTTCGGAATGACTTGCGGGTCGTCGCAGGCGCCGCGATGGACGATGTGCATGTCGTCGTTGCCGCAGTGGACTTTCTCAAAGTTGCAGGCGTTGACGTACGTGTGCCCGTCCGAGCCGCAGACAGGCGCGTACTTGTCGTTGCACGCCGTTGGGCAGGCGTCGAGGTGGCGAACCGACGCGGTATCGTCGCACGGGCCTACGTGGGCAATGCGCAGCGTCGACTTTGGCCCACCGCGGCAGCGCGCAATCTCCAGCTTGCACCCATTGCTGTACGTTGTCCCATCGGTGCCGCACACGGGCGCATACTCCATGGTGCAGATACTGGGGCACTCGAGTGTCTGCCGCGCAGGGCAGCGGCCAGTGTGGTCGAGCGTCACGGTCGGGTTTGTGCAGTGGGCCTTCTTGAACTCGCACACGTTGGCGTACGTCATGCCATTCGAGCCGCACTGCGGATCGTATGAGACCGGGCACTCCATGGCACAAATGTGCATCGGCGACGTGCACACGCCATTGCTCGCGAGAACAAGGTTCGCGTCGATGCAGTTGGCCTTGGCCAAGGCGCAAGCGTTCGTGTAGGTGACGCCGTTGGTCGCACACACAGGGCTCCCGCCCTTGGGGCAAGGCGAGGCGTCGTCGCAGGAGGCCTCGGACGCGGTACCGAGTGCGACGACGAGGGCGGCGATGGCGAGGAAGCAGCGCAGCAGCATGGTGTTGTTGCTCGTCGAATCAGGATCTGGGAGTCCGATGCGCAGTCGAATGCCATTGGCCAAAACACGTGAGGTGCTCGATTTGGATTGGCTACTTTTTAGAAGGCTCTTGAACCAGATCCCGTCGCCGACAACTGCGCATCACATAGCAAGTTTGCGACGACACATGCCGAGGGACGCTTGTACAAGCTTGCAATTTTCTTGAATCTACATAAGGGAGCTCTGCCAACTGCCCAGTTCATGCGTCCAAGCGTTCAAGCCCGCGTGCAAGATAAATGGAACAGAAGGCGAAATTGGATTGGCTTAAAAGAGACGAATCACAGCGAGCTATTGAAGGAATTGTCGCCCAATGGCATCGCGCCGTGCTGCCGAATTCGAAAATGGCAACCACGCACGCAGAGGTGACGGGCTGGCAGCGCGTCTTGGCGCAGTACGCGCCGCAGGAAGAGGCATGGCAGCACGCCGAGACCAAGATGCGGGCGTATGCGCAGCAGGTGCTGCGCGACGTCAAGGGTGATGATGCCCAAAAGCGGTCCGCGACCATCGACTTTGTCAAGGATCTCGTGCCCGAGGACGTCAAGCCCGAAGTCGAGAGCTTGCCTGTGGAGCAGTTTGCGCTGGGCCTCATCTTTTACGGCCCGTTCCAGGTCTACGATCGCGTGTACCGCCACATCTCGTCCGACGTACGTCATGCTGCTCCATGCAACCTCGACTCAATGGCCCTCTCTTGTCTAGTACGGCAAGGAAATGTCCATGCAGGCGCGCAAGGGCACCGAGCACGACACGACAGGCCACGTACGCTATACATGCAGTATGTCGCATGCTATGGCATCGATAGGTCTACGGCGAAATCGCATTCTTCCCGTTCGCAGACATCCTGCATGCGATCGCGCCCGTGCTGCCGCAGAACAACGCCGTCTTCTACGACTTGGTGCGATGCCATCGCGCTCGTACCACGGCTCTCACGCATCGCGATCTAGGGCTCGGGTGTCGGAAAGGCGGTTGTCGCAGCCGCGCTCTTGCATCCGTTCCACAAATCCGTCGGCATCGAGGTCTTGCAGGTTCGTTGCCTTGTCCATGGAAGACAATTCGTCGTCTCATTTGCTATGCAAGCCGCTTGTGGACTTTTCCCACGCCCGTGTCGACAAGCTCGGCCAGGACTATGACGGCATTGCGCAGACGATCTCGTTCGTGTCGGGCAGCTTCTTGGACCATCCGTGGAGCGACGGCGACCTCGTCTTTAGCCACAGCACGTGCTTCTCGCCCGGGTACGGCACTCGATTCATGTATCGCATTGTATGAAGCGTGATGCGAATAGCACGTGGGAACGCATCTCCAAGCAAGCCGAGCAGTTGAAGCAAGGCGCGTACTTTGTCTCGGTGTCACACGTCCTCTTGTCACCGCTCTTTGAGGTAGTAGAGAGAAGCGGCGTGATCATCATTGAATGGCATGCGTTAGGTACTGCGCACGATGGTGGTCACGATGAGCTGGGGGAGCTGCACCGTCTACATCCACGTACATCCATGTCGCTTTGAACGCGCAGGGTCTCACATCCCGAGCAGCGTCGCATGCGGATTGGCCGCTGGGCGACCAAGATGTTGCAAGGCGGCAGCGCGATTCGCACGGATCTCCAGCAGCGCCGGGGCGCAACGCCCAAGGAGAACGAAGTCCGTGAGCAGTAGGCTGCAGGAGTACTAGCCAAGTTGCCGTTGATGGCTTCGATTTTTGATTCGATTTTTTCAACGCTGCTGATTGGCTACGTTTACAGAACGTACTGGAATTCCAACGAGGGTGAGAGCCTGGCCCTGGCCAAAGCGCTCAAGTAGAGATCGATTGACTCATGGGTGCGCAGAACTCGAGCCCGACGCCGATGCCATCCGTGCCTTTCAACCTTCCCGACGGCGAATGGCGGGCCAAGCTCAGCCCCGAGCAGTACCGCGTTTTGCGCCAGAAAGGCACCGAGCGGCCGGGCACAGGCGCCTTCACCAAGCACAACGCGCTTGGCACGTACCTCTGCGCGGGCTGCGACGCGCCGCTGTACACGTCATCGCAAAAGTTCAACTCGGGCTGCGGATGGCCGGCCTTCTTTGATGCGATCCCGAATGCGATCAAAGCGCTGCCAGATGGCAGCCGCATCGAGATCGTCTGCGCCAACTGCGGCGGGCACATGGGGCATGTTTTCAAGGGCGAGGGCTTCGAGACGCCGACCGACGAGCGCCATTGCGTCAACAGCGTCTCGCTCAAGTTTACGTCGTCGCCTGCGCCATGAGCACACATTTATATGGAATGAGACACAAAACCTTCTTGTAGTCTCACGGAATCCCAGCCTATAAACACATCCTAGATACAAAGGAAGGTCAGTCTCCTGGGCCAACGGAATCTCTCTGAACACGCTGGGCCTCCTGCCTGGGCGTCGAGTCACCGGCGTTGCACGGTGTGCGCGCAGGGTCGACTACCAGCAAGAGCCGTAGGGTGCCATCATGCGACAGCGCCCCAGCACTGCCAGCGTTGATCTGCTCATACGAGCTCAATACGATCGCATATCCCATCCCAGTAAGAATCTCGCTTGCGTCCATCAAGCCTCCTCGCTGACCACGGCGGAGCGGCGTGAGGCAGTTGCAACTGCCTCCCACGAGGCGTCCAAGCAAGCAATGCCATTATTGCTGCCGCTGTGTTGGAGGCAGCACAGCCACGGTGGTATTTAACGGCGCGTTATACGACGTGGATGTCTTCTTGCTTGGGCACGTGCTTCTCAACCGACCAGCCGCCTTCGAGGATGACTTTTTCAGTTGTCGTCTCGGCGCCGTCGGGCACGGACGGGTCGAGAAATGCAGCCGCCTCGTCGGCCTCGTCCTGCACCCGCGCCGACTCAAGCGCATACCCGAGCAGCTGCTCCTTGATCGACCTACACCACGAAAGAAGGTACAGCAACGACGACGGAAGGGCATGCGTACTCGGGGAACCAAACGTTGACTGGGAGGAACCAGTGCAGCGCCATCTTGTTGTTGACGCCGCCAAAGACCTCGCGGATCCCGAGGTTCTCGCTCGTCTCGCCTTTAAGCCGGTCGATCTGCGTCGTGCCGGTCGTAATGACGCTGTACTGGTCGCACATCATGCACATGGTGAAGAGGCCGAAAAGGACGGCCTCGAGGCAGAGGCAGATGACGTGGACGGCGCCCGTGCTCGCGCACCTACGACTCGCACGTCAATCGATAGCGCCAGCAAGAGACAGAGCGTACGTCTCGTGCATGCAGTGCGAGTAGCGCGCGACGACGAGGCCCATCGCATACAGCGAGAGAAGAAAGACGTAGAAGATGAAGAGGAGGAAGAACTTGTGGTTCCC